TACCAATATTTTATATAAAAAAAAATCACCTTCTATCACTCCTCCCCCTTTCACAAACAGTTGGATAATATACAAATAAACAAAATATTTCTAATAAATATTAACGTATATTTGGTTCCGAATCCATGCTTACTAAATACACAAAATGAAAACGGCACCATATTTCATGAATGCACAATTTTTTTTTTGTGGTGCCACCTTAAAATCTAGAGAGAATCAATCTTTGGTGGATCTTGGCCCCGTCATTATTGGGTCCTTGATAGACGTAGTTGTCTGGTGGATTAAGCCGATGTGCCCCAGGATTTTGTGCTTGTGGCACCGGAACATTGTGATCAGTGCACAAGTTGTGCAGAACAACACAGGCAGTCACAATTCTACATGCTCTTGTTGGATGAAACAGAAGCGTTCCACCAGAATGATCAATGCAGCGAAAGCGCATTTTAAGCACCCCGAAGCTTCTTTCAATAGGGTTTCTCGTCTTAGCATGCGCATCGTTGTAAGCTAATTCACGGGGATTGCTTGGGTTAAGGACTGGTGTCATCAGATAATTTTTCAGAGGGTATGCACTGTCCCCAAGCAACCAACCTCTTCTAATATATCCATTTTCAAAAAGATCACTAAGTGTTGAATTTGTCCACACAAAGGCATCGTGTGATGAACCAGGCCATGGCAAAAATGTTAGTAAATTTTGTCCTGGAATCACAAAGTGCCATTACATTAATAAAATGAAAATTTTTTCTGTTAACAAACAGATGCTCGTCATTTTTCGGGGCTTTAATTGGAATATGAGTTCCAACTATCGCTCCAATGACGTTAGGAAAATTTGTAATGCGAGAAAAGCCAAGTATTGTGTTATTTATACTTCTATCGTCTTGTGGATATTTTATATAATATCACGCGCTAGATTAAAATTAAATGGCGTGGAAGGCGGAACTTATCAATGATATCTGCATCAGTCATATAGTCCAATGGGTTGTTCCTATCTCTAAATACTCGTTCTCTTCTTAAGTTCCTTCTGTTTTGAGCCAAAATATAGGCGGCCGCCATGCTCACTTTAGTCTTAAGACATGTATCTGGTTGTCTTAAGATTAAGATAGATCTTAAGATTATCATAAGATATGACAGTTTTGTGAAACAGCTACGGTACAATCTTACGATAATTTTCGGTCTTAAGACAGATTTTAGTCATAAGATAGTTTTGTGAAACGGGCCCCAGAATTGTACCGGCCAAACTATTCGTTGGAGAAAAATTTGATAAAATACTGTAAAATCACATATTTTCTTGGGGTCACATTCTCGAGGTTTGAGAAAAAAAAAATATTGATATGTGGGGATTTGATTTCATGGTTGGAGAAGTGTTAAATAGTTATTTATATGAAATTTTACATTTCTTGGTGGTCATGAATTTGTGTGTCTCTGCATACCTCGAAAACAATGAAAAATAAACCCCCAACAAAAATAAATGATTTCACAATATTTTATTAAAATTGCTTCCACAAAGTACCTCCTACTTTTGTAAAAGTATCACTTGTTTCTTATCTTTTTGAAACCCTTGTATTATAGTTTAAAATCCATGAAATAATCTATTTTTTCAAATCTCAACCATATAAATTGAATGAATGGAACATGATCCTTCTTAAAATAGAAAGGAGAGTCATGTATCTCAAGAAATTGACTTAGTTTAAGGAAGTTTCTGCATTATGACATCTGTTAGAGTTGATGTGGACCCCCCCCCCCCCCCAAATACTGGATCTGCACCAGTGATGTGAAATTGACAGTCACAAAGGCTGATATGGGACTCGAGGGCTGTTATGACATATGATATGGATTTCAGCATCTAGTATTCTATTTATCATATATTTAAAATACTTAATATGCGAGTTCACATAAAGTAATTTAGGAAAATTTAAGACAATTTCGTGCGTGTTTACTATGACCTTTTTCTTTTAAATCTAAAAAGACAATTTTAGGTCTTTGAAAACAAATTAAGTCCAAAAATTTTTGTAAAGAATTATATTAAATGTAAATGTATACTTAAATAAAATCAAGTTAACTTTTAAACTTTGTACAAACATTACTTCCGGTTTGATATGGATTTTTGCACGCCAGTCCGATATGTGATATGGATTTTCGGACCGGTCCTTGGGGTATTGTGACGTCACCCATATCGCACAGTGCGGAATCGGCGTATTTACTACTAAGTATATGATAAGATTTTTTTATCCAACAAGTTAAGTGTTTTTATAAGGCTCGGGGACTTACACACAACGAGTTGCATAAAAAATCATATCCAACCATAAACCATGGGAGATTCTTTTTATCTCAGGTTTTACATATAACTATTTCATGATTTACACTGTTTTATATGTATGTAAATCCACAATATTCAATTGACTTAATCAAATTCACGCCAAAACCATTGTGATGTCACAACCGTGGATATGAAAATGATATCCTAGTATGAGCTATATCCACTGTATAAAGGTGTTAACGTCATAAATTTTATTTACGCAAAATTTAAAAATGCATTTATAAGTAATCGTTATATATTCAGTGGATATCATAGTAACACTTATGATTGCTTTGCATTGAACACTGATACATGTATCCAATTCACTCATTCCCCTGTTATTTAAGGAAGAATTTCTTAATTATCTTCTAACATACCATGTGTTAAAATTGTATTCACTTATCATCTTTATATTTTTATTTTTGTGTGTGTGTAACTTTAAAAGCATTAAAATTTCCTATAAATAAAAAGTTTTCTTCAGATTTTGAATATTTTAATCCCTGTGAAAAATCTATACTTATAAATTAATAAATTTTGCAAATAAACTCCGAAACGGGTGCACCAGAGTTCTTACTTACTCCTCTAACAATACACTAGATACAAGATGATGTCCGTAAACTATATTTAGATTTCACTTGCGTAGTAAGTATCGTACATTAAATTAAAAGTCTACTTTTATTTTCTATAAACAGCCATAAAATAGCAAAAACATGAGTACGGTGGCGTTTCCGGTTGGCGGATCTAAGTTACTGGCAATTTTTAATGAAACTGTCAACAAGCAATTGTTTATTTATTTCATAAAACGTCATCACTGAATTATTCAATCAGAACTTGATTTAAATCATATAAAAGAAATAAGTTGTGATAACCGATTAAAAAGGGAAATGTGCAAATTATTTTCGTCGTTCAACGATCTTAATGTTGACGGAAGCTTCTAGAACATCATATAGCATTGAGCCCGATGTAAAAAAACAAACAAACGAGGCGCTTAAAGCTGCATAACATAAAAAAAGGTTTTGTGTGATTGGTCATTGAAATAATGGTAAATCATTGATTACACTATAAGTTGTGAATATATTTATATATCGAAAGACTATTACAAATATATACATGTATATGTATGTAGTAGGTTTTCCGAATAAATTTATCGGTAAAATTTTTATATATTCCTTACTGAGAGCATTGTGGCAACGAACCCGAAGTACAATTTGTACTTCGTATAATAAACTCGCTTACATGTAAAGAGAAAATTAATGAATAAGGTATTGTTCAAAAACAATTAAAGATGTAAAATTTTGTGCTTTAATCAATACATTTCATTTTTTTTTTCTGAAAACAGTCTTTTGTATCAAATACTCGGCCTGTTCATACTTCATAGGGTGTTAAAAGCTAATTTTACACAGGTACTTAGTTTAAGAAGTATTTTATTCACGATATACATAGAAGTATATACAATGAATATTGATTGAACAGCAGGCAAAAATAGCCTATATTAGTTCTCTCCATTAAAGATCAAGGTACAAATCATGAAATGTTACAATAATATATCACAACTTTTACAAAGACATGTATTTTAAACTAATTTTTAAGGAGGATACAACGTACAAAATTGATACACAGGTGCTTGAGTCTTGATTTATAAATATGTTTGTACCTTATTGACATGCAAAAAAAGTAAAGTACATTATTTACATATCAGTAAGGTACAAACATATTTATAAACCAAGACCCAAGTACCTGTGAATTTTGACCCCCCTCCCCCCAAATCAATTTATCAGTAAAATGTGCATATTCACTGCTTTTATCCTTGACGGAAATGAAATAAGAGCATCTGAAGTACAATATCCATAACATAGTATAACAGGTTTCACATTAAACGTCAATTAATGAAATTGTTAATTTTCAAGGTATTACAAAAGGGGGTGGGGTGGAGACGTACATCTACTTCATGCGAGATTTTGAACAAAATATTTCTTTCTGCTATAAGCCTGTAGGCTGTCAGTAGAAAATACAAACTATTTTCTGTCGGTAGTACATGTAGTATATATTCAATTCCCCGCGCTTGCGCGGGATTTCATCTAGTCCTAAATATAAAAGTAATAATTAGTTAAAAAAAAAAAAGTTGAAGTGTTGAAATGTAACAGAGTTTGAAGTTGTTCTGTGTTGTGTACAGTGATACCATGCACCTACAAGCACTAGCTAGAGTATAAACCCTTTAAATCAGTCAGTAGAGCATCAGATTTTAAATATCTGAGGGTCAAAGGATAAAAATTCAAGTCATACAGTGGATGTTCCCTAGCTAATTGGTCATACTGAAACCCAACTACAAAAACCACATTTGGGGTTTGTTGTTTATAAAGTCTCATATGTGAGATTTCTTAGGGGTAAAAAAAATCGGAAGATAGTTTGAAAGTGTCTAACAGAGTTTGATGTGGTTATGTGTTGTGTATGAGGCCAACTGTTCCTACTAGCACTGGTTAACATGTGTTAACCCCTTTAGCTCAGTCGGCAGAGTGTTTGATTTTAAATCTGACAGTTGTAGGTTAAAGTCATATTGTGGACATCCCTAAATAATCAGTCATAAAAAGTTTAATTCATTCCGCTACAATTTTTAAAAAATATATTGTACCATTGTATACCAAAAATTACTTGAGTTTAATTACTTAAATTACTAAAAATGATTGTTACAAAGTATATGTAGTGTTCTTACCAATGTAACTCTGATAAACTTCAGATTCATCTTGCATTTTTATCATTTCAGCCTTTGCTTGTTGTGATGTGCTTCCAAATATTGGTGCTTTTGGGGGTCTTAGAAAGGGGTCATTACAGATGCACTGTTGACAGCCAATGTTCTCCATTGTTACCATTCAGTATGACCTCAGTCTCTTCTTATTCTGTAAAGGAAACAAAACTGTAATCATCAAATTTTAACAACTAAATACATGAAAAGTGAAATCTCCGATCAACAAAGACATCACGTGCAACAGAAAATTATTCAATTATAACCAAAGATGTAAATAACATAAAATTTATTTATAAAATATTTTTAAAAAAATGAATTATTTCAAAATCTTTACTAACACTGATCAAAAGGAGATCATCTTTCTCTCTCACAAACCCATAATCACACAGTGACACACACATGGAAATTTTAAATTGTGAATAAACATGATAAATAGCCTCCATGAACAGTGATGAACACGTATAAAGTATAGGGAAGGAAAACATGGGAAAAAAGCTACATTTTACATTTTACAAGTACACTTTTCAACAAATTCCTTTCCTCTGAATATATATAGTAAACCCTAACCTAATAATTCCGTACTTTTAAACTATGATACATGTGTTGTATTCGTGATTAATACATCGCGTACTACTCACACAAAAGTACTATACATGTAACACGTGCTGATTGTACTGTGACATCATGACCCTGTCACTAAGACCGTGGCATGAACAGAAAATAAAAAATTAATTATAAATAAAACATTCTCTCTTCGTGTTGAAAGAAAAAAACCTATGGTTTTAATTTCATGTCTGTTTTTTTTTTTGTTCCGCTAATGAACGGAGATGGAATGCTACAGGATTGGTTCAAGTGCTAACAAACATATAAAAATCTACTGTACAGTTAGAGATCTTGATAAACGACAAAACTTTCAGTCAATTAGTTCTTAAACCCGACAACAAGAATATGAAACTTACCTGTTCATTTTACTTTCTTTTTGATGAGATTAAAACCAGGAAGTTTACAAATGGGATGGGAGTGAGTAACTTCCTGCTTCAATGGAAAGACATTTTTTATCCGAAATACCGTTAGCATAAACAATCTTGTATTCCCTTCTTACTTTACCCCGAAATTTGTAACTTTACAACTTAAACAAAAAATTGGCAATTGGAAACCGTATGGGTTTGACACCTTCTGACTAGTGTACACGTCTACCCGAGGTTTGTGTGATATCGTCTGATACAGTATATTTTTCTTTATTATATGATGAATGAGTAGCCCGAGGCAGGATCGTTTGTGACTTTACTGACCAGAAACAGAATTTTCATTTGGATTTTCAACAAAAATATGCTTTAAATATTGATACATTTAGAGGTCTGTGTCAAATCCTAGCTTCGATCCTTAAACTATTCAAAAAATAATAATAATAAAATAAATAATAGATCTATATGAAATTGGTTGAAAAAAATATTAAAATGAATGGTAAGAGTAATTTTAACAAATTATGTTAGCAATGCTTGTCACACTTGTAACCTTTTATCTAGTAACCTGGAAATTGTGAATCAGCACCCTTCATCAGCTGTTCATAGATGTCCACAGTGGTAAACTGCATGTATACACAAAAGCTGGCATTATGATATTGTCAATAAACCACTGTATTTTTTATGCCCCCATAATCGAAGATTCGGGGCACATAGTTTTTGCCCTGTCCGTCCGTCTGTCTGTTTGTCCGCAAAAACTTTAACCTTGGTCGTAACTTTTGATTGGTTGGAAGCTGTGGCTTTCATATTTCACGTGTATTCCTTGTGACAAGACCTTTCTTTGGGTACCATCATATTTGACCTTTTGACCTTGGAGTTTGACCCACTTTTGCGAAATTTTTTGAGACTTTAACCTTGGCCATAACTTTTGAACACTTGGAGCTTTCAAACTTCACAAGTGTATTCCTTGTGAGAAGGCCTTTCTTTGGATACTAACATCTTTGACCCTTTGACCTTGACCTTGGAGTTTGACCTACTTCAATTTTGAAAAATTTTAACCTTGGTCATAACTATTGAACAGTTAGTGCTAGGGTTTTCATACTTCACATATGCATTCCTTGTGAGAAGACCTTCCTTTAAATACCAACAACTTTGACCCTTTGACCTTGAAGTTTGACCTACTTTTGAAAAACTTTAACCTTGGCCATATCTTTTGAACAGTTGGTGTTAGGGCTTTCATACTTCACACGTTTATTCCATGTGACAAGACCTACCTCTGGATACCAACAATTTCGGCACTGACCTTGACCTTGGAGTTTGACCTACTTTTAAAATTTTTAACATTGGCCATAACATTTGAAGGTTTGGTTCTAGGGCTTTCACATTTCACGATCATATGTATCACATGTGACAAGAACTTCCCTTGAGCACCATTTGATCGTGACCTTGCCGTTTTACTTACTTTAAAAAAACTTTAACCTTCGCCATAACTTTCCAACGGGTTGTACTAGGGCTTCCATATTTCACAGGTATATTCCTCGAGACAAGACCTTTCTTTGGGTACCTACATTTTTGATTTCTTGACCTGGAGTTTGACTTGCATTTAAGAAACTTTAACCTTTGCCATAAGCTGCCATAGGGGGGCATCAGTGTTTCACAAACACATCTTGTTTTTAAATATGTGCTTGGCTAAAACTATTCCTATCGCTGGAATTTTTAAAAAGCTGAAATTCAAGTGTTATATTAAGTACGTATCAAATTCAAAACCATCGACAGCAACAGGAGTCCATAATTAGAACACTTTAACAGGAAATGAAATTGATAACTGGAAATATTTTTGGTTTAGTAGGAAATTAAACATTTGTTCATATTTGGATTATTCAGTAAGGAAGTTTCCATATTTTCTAAGCAGAGTAAAAGATAAGTAAAGAGATCTCAATTTTTAAGTGGTCTTCAATTCATGATATAAACTGAAAATATGTTCAAAATATTATTTTCACTGCTCAAATTACAATTGTAGATGTCTTCGAATTCGCAAAAATGCTCCCTTTGACTCCCCCCCCCCCCCAGTACCTATCGAGAGGGGGCTCCTTGCCTACCCACACTTTGCACTTCAGGTTAAATCTGTGACTTCACACTAGCCTACACATTAGCAGAAAGAAATATACGCCACTGCCAATTGATTTTGCTTACAAATCAATCCACACTTTTGAGGGGTGGAGGGATGTACTTAACTTCAGTTAACTGAAATGTAAATTCTGTATTTATCAAGTCTTTTATTCATGTACCGGTACTTAAATATTGCATCTGCATAATACTCTCAGTGCTTCAGATACTGGACATGACCTTTATTTTCCAGACTGAGTGACCAGATTTCTGATGCACTGCTATTTCAGTCATCATATGCCCAATATTGACCATCTGCTAGATGTCTCATCAACATGATCAAGGACATGCATTTTGTATGCTACATTGTGATGTTCTGTATAATGGGCAGATGTGAGGACTAGTTGAAAAGCTTTTGACTATACTTATCCAGTGCATATAAATGAAAAGTCTTCCATAACACTAATTTGAATCTTCTGTACACTTCACACATGGAATATTTCATTGACCAAGGTCTAAAGGCAGATATTTATTCGAATGTCTTCATCCTAGAGTCAAACAAAACATGGTTACACAACTTTAACTCACATGCCAGTACCTTCTGTGTATTATTGCTAGATTATTCAACCTTGTACATGTTGTAACTATGAATTACATGTACATGGTTTAATATGGAGTCAACATAATGATCCATGGACTTCATGTAATTTGCATTATTTCTCACACCTTCAAGATGTTGTTTTTGAAAAAAATATTAATGCTAATTACTATTAAATGTACAGCTCTCACGCTAACATATACTCAGTAACTAAAGAAAGGGTTCCCCCTAAACCAGAAACTGCATTTTTTAATTAGTAACACAGGTAAATTTTGATTATTTTATTTGAAAAATATTCAAAGCAGTTCATCTACAGATTATTTAATAAATGTTTAATAATGCTCTCCATTTTTCTTGTGAAAAGGTATGTTTACTTAAGAGGAAATAAATAAAACGGGCAAAAGAATTTCACTACATATCTGAAAATCCTTAGTGACCTTTAAATTGTGAATTCCTTTAAATGAACATAATCAAATATACATGTATATAATAAATAGAAATAAATCAACAAGATTTCGTATTCATAAATACACATATATGTCAGTGAAAACTACACGTATGGGGGATGGAGGATTTTCTTAGAGACTGAAGGTTTTCATACACAAAAAATTTCAGTGTATGACCATAAGTTGCTAATGATAATACTACCATACATATTACGACTGCATACTGACATATCTCTACACTAAATACCAGTATCTACAGATATATAGGTATGTACAATTTGTGTGAAAAATTCATAAAATGGAAGATGAACAACTCCTCTGCCTTAAAACATCTCTTACCAAAGTGTCCTAATAAAATGTAAAAATCTCTGCCATAATAAAATCCTGTGAAGGAGTACTTTGTCTACATAAAAATAACCGATGGATTGTGAGCAAAACACAACTCACAACTTCTCATGGTAAACATTTCCTGTATCTAGGTCATCAGAACATCTGACAAGACACTTGTTTTCACTCGATATCCGATACTTAAAACCTACAGAATTAAAAACCCAATACATTTCTCACAAAAGGAAGTAATACATCTACACTCTTAATTCCAATAACATTTCCCACTTAGTGAATCATGGTATATCAACAGTTTTCTTTGTTGTCAAGATAAAGTAGATTAAAATGTTTTATATTATTTCATGCAATTTAATTTAACATACAAACTACTATTCAATTTGTTGTCTTTTTTCACTTTCAAAAACTAAATGTTTAAAAAAATGAGTCAAAACTTCATAAATTTTGCCTGTGTACATAAAATGAAACATTCCAATAATGTCATAACAGTTGACGAATTTGATCTTTGTCAGCTCATATTCCTGTGTCGTCAAGACAACTGACAAATGCCATCGACCTTCGTTGCTTTTGTTTGTCAGGACACGTCCAATCCTTCTCAGTTTTCTTCTTCCTCAGAGAAATAATAATCAGACTCATCCTCTGAGTTGTCATGGTTACTGTCAGACCCACAATTCTCCATGAACAAACTTTGCAGGTCGTCACTTTTGCTGAATAATTTTTTATTTGGAACAGGAATTTTATCCTTGGCCTGTAACATTGTAATGAAAGAAAAAAAAAAGACATTCACATTTTTATTCACAGAAATTTTTTATGAGTATTCAAGACTTTCAATTAGCTAGTAGTTTATACAAAAAAGTTCTGATTAATGCACCGTCAAAGAAATAAGAGGCCAATGGGCCACAGTGCTCATCTGAGCAACTATACTCTATCCTTTATCCTGTGTACAAGGATCATGACATAACTATGGTCACTGGTTTCAAAAGAATTTGAAAATATGAAAAAAACAATGAACAACATGACAAATGACAGTGAAACTTCAGTCAGAAAAGCCCAATGATGGCATTTGTTCAGATTAGTTAAATAAGAGGCCCAAGGGTTACAACTCTCACTTGAGTCACCTTGGCCTTAGATTCTTAATATTTTTTCCAATCTTTATTCAATGAAAATTTTTTACTCAATATTGCAGCCCCACTCTAGGCTAAAGGGGTCACAATGTAGTTGGACTTGATCCACACAACATAGGGAACTTTCAATACCAATATGACTGATACGACCTGCTCTTCTAGAAAAAAATATTTTAAAACTTTTCTTTCCTATAAACATGCTTTTCATAAACTTTGATCCCAAGTCTTAGCCACATCCAGGGTCCATAATTTCAATAAACTTGATTATCCCATCAAAAGATTTAAAAAAAAAAAAAATTCATTTCCTACATGCATATATCCTCACATGATACTCTGATCCCCTATTGTAGTCCCACTCTGCTCCTGGTTGCCATGACTAGAACAAACTTGATGCTTCACCAACTAAACATATTAATATGCACAGAATGACCCTGTTGTTCTTAAAAGATTGTATGTTGTGTAAGGTCCCATTCTTGAATTTTTCACTCATATAGAGATGTCACCACATGCCAGTGAAGGGCTTCAAATTTAGATCTATATTCGGCACTCGGGGCCATTGAGCAGTGAGGGTTCTTTATCGTGCCAATGCCTACCGTGACACAAGACCTCGGTTTCTTAAGGTCTCATCCGAAAGACCCATAACTTTCACTTCTAGTGCCGGGTGCTTGGTGAAGGAACAGTCACTACCTATGTTGACATCTTAGGTTTGACGCGGTGCGGTGAACGAGAATTGAACCCGGGCCTTCCGATCTTGAAGGGAGCGCCCTACCACTAGGCTACCATGACTGGTGTTCTTGAGAAGAAATTCCATGTCAAAGTTTAATTCCTTGAACTGGATTCTACACATGTTAGGAAGCCTTCACATTAATTTCATCTTTTCTACTCCACTGATTCTTGAGATTTTCAAAATGACCCCACTCTACATTTGCCTTTCTCATGATTATCTCCCCTAGGAAGGGGGGCATGGCACTTCATTTAATCAAATTTGAATTGCCTGTACCTTAAAATATTTGTGGCAAGTTTGATTGAAATTGGCTAGATGGTTCCGAAAAGGAAGAATGACAATGCCTCACATATTTTAATCAGAAAAGCTCACTTGAACCTTTGGCTTTGGTGAGAAAGGCTGAGCAAACAAGAGGCCCATGGGCCACATCGCTCACCTGAGCACATTGGCTAGACAAAAGCACAAATCAGTTCAGTATTGAAAAGATTACGGGGGGGGGGGGGGGGGGGGGGGGGGCTTGAATTTTAAACTACCTGAGGATGCTTCCGTATCAATATGACTAAACACAGCTTTTCTGTTCTTGAGAAGAAATATTTTTTCTATGTGTTCTTATGTAAAACTTTCAATCCCCCTATTAGGCCCCATCCTACCCCCGGGGTCATCATTTGAACAAAAGTGAATTTACACTACCTGAGGATGCTTCGATATCAAAATGACTAATCATGGCTTTGCAGTTCTTCATCAGAAGAAATCTTCCTATATATTTCTATTTCAGACTTTGATCCCCCATTGTGGCCCCACCCTACCCCAGGGGGTCAACATTTGAACAAACTTGAATCTACACTACCTGAGGATACTTCCACATAAATATGATCAATCAGGGCTTTGCTGTTCCTGAGAAGAAGATTTTTAAAGATTTTCCCTTATATTTTAATATGTAAAACTTTGATCCTCCATTGTGGCCCCACCCTACCCCCATGGGGTCATGATTTGAATAAATTTGAATCTACACTACCTGAGGATGCTTCCATATAAATATGACCAATTAGGCCTTTGCTGTTATTGAGAAGAAGATTTTTAAAGATTTTTCCTATATATTTCTATGTAAAACTTTGATCCTGCATTGTGGCCCCGCCCTACCCCCGGGGGTCATGATTTGAACAAACTTGAATCTACACTACCTGAGGATGCTTCCATATAAATATGACTCATCACGGCTTTGCTGTTCTTGAAAAGAAGATTTTTAAAGGTTTTTCCCATGTATTTCTATGTAAAACTTTGATCCTCCACAGTAGCCCCGCCCTACCCCCGGGGGTCATGATTTGGACAAACTTGAATCTACACTATCTGAGGATGCTTCCATATAAATATGACTCATCACGGCTTTGCTGTTCTTGAAAAGATTTTTAAAGGTTTTTCCCATGTATTTCTATGTAAAACTTTGATCCTCCATGATTTGGACAAACTTGAATCTACACTACCTGAGGATGTTTCCATATAAATATGACCAATTAGGGCTTTGCTGTGCTTGAGAAGAAGATTTTAAAAGATTTTTCCTATATATTTCTATGTAAAACTTTGATCCTCCATTGTGGCCCCGCCCTACCCCCGGGGGTCATGATTTGAACAAACTTGAATCTACACTACCTGAGGATGCTTCCACATGAGTTTCATCTTCCCTGGCTTTGTGGTTCTTGAGAAGAAGATTTTCAAAAGATGCTATAAATTTTTCACTAATTCTTTATTATCTCCCCTTGAAAGAGAGCGTGACCCTTCATTTGAACAAATTTGAATCCCCTTCACCCAAGGATACTTTGTGGCAAGTTTGGTTGAAATTGGCCCAGTAGTTCTTGAGAAGAAGTCGAAAATGTGAAAAGTTTACAGACAGACGGACGGACAGACAGACTAGACAAAATGTGATCAGAAAAGCTCACTTGAGCCTTCCGCTCAGGTGAGCTAAAAACGGAATGTTTAATTGATGATAAGTTACACAACTTACCGAATTCTTGGCTGTTTTGGGCTTTGTTTTGTTTACCAGTTTACGACGCTGGATATTCATCTTGTGTATGTATTGATCAGCATCTTTTCTGAAAATATTCAGAACTCATAAAATACAGGTACAGGCTATATCTACAAGTACTTGAGAAATATCTCTATGTACATTACTGTTATCTATAGGTAAATGGCCAATATTACCAGTTCTTTACCAGTGAAATACATTTCTTGCTGAAAACCAGCAACAAACCTTTTGTATATCAGATAAAAAAATGTGTCACAAAAAATTGTGATTTGCACATTAATTACACTTGAACTTTGACATCTTTTATTATCTGTTTCTCGAATACCAGGTGATATGTCAAGTGAGTTGGAACTCTCTACTACTATATTTTAACATCGAAATCTCAAATCCTTGAGCATCTTGAAACTTTTTTGACTTTATCGAATTCCTCGATGATGAGGCAGGGTTGTCCCTAAGACTCAGGGTCAGGGAATTTCCCTGCCTATGATGATGAAATCTCCCCATTATTCTGGTATTCCCACTCAACCCCGTTAGGGGAGGAACCCAAAACCCCCTTCTACTTTTTAATGTCCCATGCTATTTCAATTCTTAGGGACAACACTGATGAGGTTTGACTGTACATCATTTATCCCAACTTTTACATTCAAGTCCACAAAATGGTTGCTTTATCTAATCTGAACATTTACAATACGTCTGAATGTCTAAGAATGAGGGACTTCTGACCTGTTTATCTGTGAATCTACACCAGTCAGGCCTGAGGAGGGGGTTTTCTTTGTGGAGATGGGGTCTACATTTATTCTGGTCATTGGGGTGAAGACTTTGTTCATCATGTGGGGGTTTCTCTTACTGAGTTCAGCGAAGACGTCATCTTCTCTGTCATCAGAGAGGCGTGGCATCTAGAAAGATGAGACAGTGGTTAATTAATTTACAAATGATTAATATCTGTTAATTTGAATGAAACAAATTCCAAAGGTAGAGAGAATATTTCATGCAATAAGCACTTAATAAAATATTATTATTTCATTCCACTAAGCTTAATCAAGAAATTCTTAGGTATTTTTATTTTTTAATTGATAAGGAAAGACAAGGTCCATTTATAGAACAAAAGATACAGAACAGAGGACCTTGAACATGTACTTAAAAAAATACTGAGCTGTCTTTACAAGATGCTTGATGCACACAGGGGAAATGCTCCTTTGAAAACAATTATCATCATGATCATGTTTTCATATCATTGAAATGAAAAGGATTTATTTATTTGTCTGATTGCATTCTACTTGAAGATTTTCACATGTGAACAAGAATTTGATAAGCTTTTGTTTAAGGGGTGCTTTGACATTCTATAAAATTAGGGAAGTAATTATAAGAGAATTGTTCACTTTAAAATCTTTTTGGGAAATGTTTTACCAGACTCTTTCCACTTACATATATATACAAAGTACTTGTATGTCTGTTATAATATGCAGTCTATATGATCAAAATATTGTAAAATTTTACACAAAGGGTAGGTAAAAATAGTACTCACAAAGGAGCTGACTGTGTGATACTCACTTTAGAGTATGGCACAGACTTGGTATCTTATCATATCTTTGAGTGGTACCAATATGGTATGTTGTTTACAGTTGAGTGGTACCAATATGGTGTGTTGTTTACAGTTGAGTGGTGCCAATATGGTGTGCTATTTACCTTGGAGTGGTGCCGATATGGTGTGCCATCAAACAGATCCTCCTGATACACTTTATTGGAATGATCCACTAATTCCCGTAACTGCTGTTTCCTCTTCAGAGTTCCCCTCTTTGCTGTAAGACTGATCTGTTGTTCTGCTGTCTCTGAATTAAATTACATATTTATCTTACATGTGTGGTGGATCTTACACGCTGAATAAAGCACAGCTTTATTCTACATGCAATGCTTTATTTTAACACTTCCATTCTGAACTACATTTGACACATTCACATGATTCAATACTTTAAAGTTCTGTAGTTTAAACACCTGCTAGTGAAAGCTTTTCTGATAACCTCTGCATACATCTATGTATACACATTGTGGAATTGCATAAAGATAAAAAGACACAAGTAGCTTGATTTTTGGTCATACAGCAAACTTCTTTTATAACGTACTCAGTTATAAAGTATCTCCGGATATAAAGAAGTCATTCCGTAGTCCCGGCAAAGTGTCTCTATGTTTCATTGGAAAAAACACCGCTTACAACGTATTTGTATATATTACGTAGTATCACTTATAAAGTATTAGAAATTTGGTCCTGTTACATAATTACTCCTCTTATATTAACATTTCCAATGTCTTTGTCCGAGATAAAATTACAAATTGTAAAAATATTTTATTTCTACGTAAAACTACTGGTTCATCGATAGGCGCGGTTAAAAAAATTCAGGTGCGGGCACGACAAATAGAGACAGAAGTGGGGTTATTAGCACGGGGATTTGCAGAATCAGGAGCATGTAAATATAAGGAATAACTGTCAGATTTTTTGGATTCATGACGATGATCAATTGATTGGCTTGCGTGATAATTTTATGCATAAACGCCTTCGGCGTTTATGCAAATTGTCACGCAAGCCACTCGATTGATCACATCATGAATAAAAAAATTAGAGAGTTATTCCTTAAATAACGTATTCTGCACCTGGTTTCACACCTTTTCTATCAGCTCAGTGACTATGGATTAGTCACGGTTTGTTGACTTCATGGCTGCGCCGTAATGAGTGTTTTTCTAACGAGGTTTCTTCGTTGTTTCAGGTAGATGTATTTATAATAAATTATTTGGATAACGTTCATCAGGTAGATGTATTCATAATTAATTGTTTGAAGAAAATCCATAGACCGTGACAACAGGGTGCCTGACACATGTATACCATCTACCAAGACGATCAATTGAAGGGCATTTGTCCGAAATTACAACTTACGTAAATTCGTTTGAAGGTGTTAAAGACAGCTCTGGCAACTGTGGAGATTTTTGTAAATAAATGCCGTCAGACCTTACAGACAAACATCACGGACTTTTTTAAATGATCTGATGATCATCAAGATTGTGCAGCACTTACTTTTGAAATAATTTATACTTTACGAAAATAAAATGTTATTGAATATTAATCTTTCTTAATAGAAGAAATGAAACCAAATATACCTATAAAACATTTATTTATATACTATACATACTTTAAAATATCAAAAACACACAAGCGTTTTGAAATGTGTTTACGGTAAAGGTGTACCGAGTACTTCCGGTCTCCGTTTATAACGTACATAGGTTATAACGTAGGATTTATCACAGTCCCCTGAGATACGTTACAAAAGATGTTCAATGTATTTGGCTTCTGTGTTTGACTCCTCTGATTGGACCTTCTTTACTCACCTTTGGGTTTGGGGGGTCTGCCCCCTTTGCCATTCTTTTTACTGGGCATCTCTTTATAGAAATACTCCTGACATTCCTCCACAGTCTTCGTCTGTACATGGTTCACAACTTTACTCCAGAATTCGGGGTCACACTGATGCAAATTCTTTATTATCCTACAAAAAAAAAATTATCTAGAGTATTGATGCAATATTTAAATGCATTTCAATTTTACAATTTCTACAAAAAATAATTTTTCTTCCATTGACACTGAGGGAGGAAATGCTGAATCACTTACAGATTAAGTCTGGTGACCTCCTCTTTCCTCCACACTGTTTGTTCCTTATTCTCCTTCAGTTGATTTTCTTTTCCTTCTGTTTTTGTGGCCCTCTGCTTTGATTCATACCCTCCCTGTTTATTTTGAACATTCCTCAGTTTTTCACCCTGTTCCTTGTTTTGTGACTCCTCCTCCCTCCATTTTTCTCCTGCTTTGGATCCTTTTTTCGGTTTTCCATCTTTTAAACTCACAGTTTGTTTTGGAGATTTTGACTTTGAAGTATTTTTGGCTCTATCCTTCGTTTGTCTAGGCTTTCCACTTGATGAACGTCTGCTCTTTGACGACTGGTCACTACCTGTCCCATTCTCATCATCAAATCCATATTTATCTGCTCCATTCTTCGATTGTCCTGTCTTTCCACTTGATGATCGTCTGCTCTTTAATGACTGGTCACTACCTATTCTATTCTCATCATCAGATCCATATTTATCTGCTCCATTCTTCGATTGTCGTGTCTTTCCACTTGAAGATCTTCTGCTCTTCGATGACTGGTCACTACCACTCCTTTGCTCATTATCAGATGTAGATTTATCAATTTTTCTCTCTCCTACAGAAGAACCACTTGCTTTTTTTCTTTGTCTAGAATTATTAACACTGGATTCACTATCCGAAGTACCTGACCTGTTGTTGATTTTATTGAATTTACTGCCAACCTTTTTTTCACTACCATTTCTATCAGAAGTTTTGTTTTTGTGATGCTCCCTTGAGGTTTTAGAAATACTACTGGAATTTAATGAAACTGTTTTTCGCAAAAAGGTTGACCTTGACTGAAAACAAAAGATATTTGGGCAATTAATTATTATTTGAATATCTTTTCACAATGAAAAAGAAACAAGATATGTTTGTGAAACACTGATGCCTGCATATGGCAGCTCATTATCATATAAAGTTTTTCAAATGTAGGTCAAACTCCAAGGTCATGGTCAAGAAGTCAAAAATGTTAGAACCCGAAGAGAGGTCTTGTCACAAGAAATAAACGTGTGAAATATGAAAGCCCTAGCACCAACCACTCAAAAGTTATGGCCAAGATTCAAGTTTTTGCAGACAGACAGATGGACAGATAAAAAACTGTATGCCCCAAAATCTTCAATAAAAAATATTCTTGGTCCTTTCTATGGACATCAGGCCCCAAGACCATAAACCGAAAACTGACTTTTAAAGTCAAAACTTCAGATCGTTACAACTTTCGAAATAATTCTGATGATCAAACAAAATTTTTATTGGGTGTTTGTATTTGAAAATAAGACAAACCTACAATTTCTTAAATACATACATGTATATGAAATTAATATCAAGTTACTCACAATTAAAATTTTGACTTACTAGTAAGTCTGTTCTCAGATTATGGTCTTGAAGCTAGGGCAAAATAGTATTAAAATGAATAATTTAGTTCAACTACGTTACCATTCTTCTTTGTGTCATAATAAAAAGTGCAAGGTTATTCAATTACAATTTTATTAGTAGACTATCAAGAACAAGTTTATTTTCACTACTAGAGCTGTAAGGCCAACATTTTTTAATGAAATGATTTACAGGAGCACCGACTTCAATTTTAGCTAAAACCAAATAAAAATAAAAGTCCCTGTTGTTGCTTTTATTTTTAAATTTCCCGCCGATCATCAATGCAAGCGCACTAAGAAAATAAAATAATGTGCAAATAAGTCGGTAATTCTGATTGGCTGCTTTATTGAAAGCCATTGTTATCATCCAATCAATTTACGTTTGCTATCAACTGTTTCGGAAGTGTATAAAATGTGCCAACATGGATGCAGAAATGTCAAGTTTTCCAAAAGTTGAGAATACTTTGTCCTTATACACGATAGTTTTTCCAAGTCAACCATAGCTAACAGGAAAATATGTATGTCCGTTGACGAAGTTACATGTAAGTTGGAGTTAAAATTAAAGAAACGATCAGCATAATTTTACTCAGTAGAGGATATGTTGACAGAACTGTCACTTTCGCAGTGGGTACTGTATACAATAGTTCACTGTTACAATTTTGATACCTTTGATGAACGTGAGAAAAGAATGGGAAATCGAAAACAGACGTTCCAATTTTGTGAAGAATAAAATGTGATGTATCTAACTTGCATGTATATGCAAGCAGGGACCTATATACTAGTATATAGGTCCCTGATGCAAGAAACGTTTTCAAACTTGTAAGCCTAACATTTTAAAAAGATCATTTGCAGCACTGTACAGACTTGGAATTCGTGTTGTACTAAATAGTTTTAAAATAGATATAAACAAACACTGCAAAGGAAAAGGTAATTAATTTGTTAATACTTTCAAGCTTTCAGAAGTTTTTAATATTCATAAACATATGTTGTGTTGTATAATACAGGTTTAAATCATGATTTTGGGTTTTATATTATATTGAGATTCTCTTTATAAAACTATATTTTCCATTTTTGATATGTTGGTTCATGATTTTTTTTTTCAGTACTTTGAGCATAGTGAGGTTCTCTTTATAGACTTTTTTTCTTTGGTCATCTTAATGTGGTCATGATGAATATTTTGATAAGAAATTCCTGAGATTTTCCCCATTTCTAACAAGGGTTTAAAAGTCTACTTCAATTTTTGTGTTGCAGTTATCATATTTTAAGCTCCACCCCGTATATATGGCAATTTTTATGGAATAATTGAAAATAAAAAAATCAAACACCTTTTCCAATTTTATTTTTTTCGACTGCGAAAAATATGAAATTTTATTTTTATTTATCCCCCCGACCCAATTTTTAAAAAAAAATTCCTGTAAATCATTTAATAAAAAATGTTGGCCTAACTGTGAAATAGATCATGAAGGTTAACATTAATTATACATACAGTAGCATTACTTCAGTCTATCTACTATTTCTCAATGACATCTGAGCATTTAACAGGCTTAATTCTGAAAGGTATGAAACCAGTGTACAATAGTTACTTGTAGCACAAGCTGTTAATTTACCAAAAACTTCATGTACTTCTGTGACTTTCCAATTTTGAATTTTCATTTGAAGCATTCACTTAATTATGACACCTCTTTTCAATCTTGGAAATAAATTTGTACTTCAATTTTAATTAAAATATATCTGACTTTACATTACAGTACATTTCTTTAAATATCCTGAATATTATTAGAGAGAAACAATCGCTCATCATGCTCCTTATGATTTAGGTTAGGCTATATTCAAAATTCAAGGTTCACAACTGCCATCAAGGACTGAGCATTAGGGAAAAATGATCCCCTTCAATGGAATCTATTTATTCACATGTTCATGTACATGCATGAAGAATTCTTATACTCTTTTAGTTTGATTATATCAAGGTTTCTTTTTCTTATTTTCAAGATCTTTTTAACAAATTTAGTAAACTTGGAAACTGTCTGGTCAAAAATATACAACTATAGATGACTTTTGGACAAGTAGATGATATAACCCAGAAGTAAACAGTGTCTGTATTTTAAAGTTTCTGACCTTGCAGAAGTCTGTCATGTCCTTCATAACTGTCTCAGCAAACTGAGTCCTGTGTCGGAGGACGTAGGAATTGGTCTCAGGGTCAATACTGACTGACTGCCCGGCATACCAGGCCAGCACTGGTTTGACAGCTCGTCCACTTCTGGTGGTCTGTACAGAGTCCAGCTTAATCACCTTACTCTCAGGTGTACACACTGTAACACAGAGGTCAAAACAAGGTCAAGGTCACACAAATCAGAGATCAACAGATCATAAATTCATTGTTCTTCAACATGGTTCCTAATTCTTAATACTGGGAAATCACATGTAATTCAATATTGGTCATCACCTTAAAAATTTCAGATGCTTCTTTGAAGTTAAAGGTGATTTAGGCAGATGAAAATATACACATATTCATAATAACACCAGTTTACTGTGTAATGAGATTTACAGATTTTACACAATGTTAATTGCTGTGACACACAGACATGACTCAGTTTATATAAAATACATACTTCTATGACATACAGTGATAACTAGGTCTGTTGAATAATACATGTACTCTGAGTATATGTACAGTAAAACTTGTCTAATCTAGATACAGCTGGTTCCCTAGAAGTTGGCCTGATTACATTAAACATCTGAAGTTACTGAAAAGATCTAACATAAAAGGCAAGACTTCAGAATAAAAATCTGGATTAGACAATTTTACTGCACCTTCTATGAAGTAAATGCACATACACATGTTTTATCAGTTTTATATACAATACATACCCTCTATGACATTTCCACTGGGAAGTGAAGTCTTTGTGTATACATACCTTCTATGACATTTCCACTGGGAAGTGAAGTCTTTGTGTATACATACCTTCTATGACATTTCCACTGGGAACTGGTCTTTGTGTATACATACCTTCTATGACATTTCCACTGGGAATTGATACATACCCTCTATGACATTTCCACTGGGAACTGAAGTCTTTGTGTATACATACCCTCTATGACATTTCCACAAGGAACTGAAGTCTTTGAACTGAAGTCTTTGTGTATACATACCTTCTATGACATTTCCACAAGGAACTGAAGTCTTTGTATAAAAAAAAACCTCTATGACATTTCCACTGGGAACTGAAGCCTTTGTGTATACATACCTTCTGTGATATTTCCACTGGGAACTGAAGTCTGTATATATACATACCCTCTATGACATTTCCACTAGGAACTGAAGTCTTTGTATATATACATGCCCTCTATGACATTTCCACTGGGAACTGAAGTCTTTGTATATATACATACCCTCTATGACATTTCCACTGGGAACTGAAGTCTTTGTATATATACATACCCTCTATGACATTTCCACTGGGAACTGAAGTCTTTGTATATATACATACCCTCTATGACATTTCCACTGGGAACTGAAGTCTTTGTATATATACATACCCTCTATGACATTTCCACTGGGTACTGAAGTCTTTGTATATATACATACCCTCTATGACATTTCCACTGGGAACTGAAGTCTTTGTATATATACATACTCTCAATGACATTTCCACTGGGAACTGAAGTCTTTGTATATATACATACCCTCTATGACATTTCCACTGGGAACTGAAGTCTTTACATCTTTCTTCTGTTTCTTCTTAGCATGTTCCACTTTCCTGAAATTCAAACAAACTAAATTTAACCTGTACAGTGAATTCCTTGTCCACACTGAAATCCAAACAAACTAAAATTAACCTGTACAATGAATTCAGAGCCTATAGACTTATCAGTACTACAACTTAATTAGATTGGTTGTCTCATTGCTTGCACCAATATCTCGTTTAGCCGGGTCACTGCTCGTAGAGCAATAGCCGGGTATTGTCAGCCTGTTCAAACAGGAAGCTGACAGAACAGCTGCTGAATTAAATTTACATTTAAAATATACTGCTTTATACTCTCAATAACTTTTTGAAATGATACAAAGGCTAAATATAACAGCCAAAATAATATGAAGATTCTTCTACAAAATAAACATCAAAAGTGATGAGTTTGAAAATTTCACTCTTATGTAAAACAGCTTATTAATAATTTATATGCTTAAGGTTTTTTGATGGTTGTGTTGTGGCAGCTTGGTTCTCTACACAGACAAACAGGTGCAAGAAACCAGGCTAATCCGTTTGTTCACATTCGGCAGTGTCAGGTAACCTCCGACTGATTCATTCACAACATGGTATAAGTTTTTTTTTTTTTTTAATTTTCATATGATGTCATTCATGTCACTGAATCCCTTATCATTATTTTTTAGCTATCATTTTGTTTAATGAGCCTGGCTTACAGTACTATGAGTACTTTGATTATATATTTGTTCTTTAATTATTCATTATTCTAAGTTCTTAAGGTGTAACATTTAAACAGATCATAGTTTTCAAAAGTTGTATCATAGTTTGGTATAAATAATGTTGGAATAGCATTTACCAATAGACAAATGTCCACTGTGCCATTCCTAGTACATTAGCCACGTGTTCTTACATGTACACTAGCTACATGTGTAACTTATTTAGACTTATAGTTCTTACATGTACACTAGCTACATGTGTAACTTAACTAGACTTGGTTCTTACATTACTACACTAGCTACATGTGTAACTTAACTAGACTTGGTTCTTACATTACTACACTAGCTACATGTGTAACTTAACTAGACTTGGTTCTTACATGTACACTAGCTACATGTGTAACTTAATTAGACTTGGTTCTTACATGTACACTAGCTACATGTGTAACTTAATTAGCCTTGGTTCTTACCAGTACACTAGCTACATGTGTAACTAAGACTTGGTTCTTACATTACTTACTTTATAGATGACTGCTCCTTCACTTGACTGACTTTTTCTTTCGCTTTTACTGTCCTGACTTTTGTGACAGGCTTTTTAGGGATTTCCTTCTTTAATTTCTCCTTTTTCTTCGTTGTTTTTACTACTTCATTTGATTTTAATTTTTCCTCCTCCAAGTTATGAGTTTCCTCTGAGGGTTTTAATGTTTCATCCAATAAACTTACATTATCATCAACATCACCATCAACTTCCACATCTATGTAGTGAAAAAATAAAATAAAAGTGGGGAGACAAACAAAATTACTTACAAAGAAAAGATAAACTGTTATTTTATGGTAATCTCAATAATTCAGTTTTTACTACAGTAAAACTTGTCTAATCTGGATGTTGTGTATTCCGAAATCTTGCCCATTTAGTCCCTTTGAGTAAACTCAATTGTTTAATAAAAAGTTGTCTAATCTATGGAAATAGTGATGTCTTATTTACTGTAAAGAAAATGGAATAAAGTAATAGAAATGATAACTTATATGTAATATTGATCAATACCATTATGTGACAGCTTCATGTTAGACTTGGAAGATCCTCTGAAATATAAACAGGATAAAGATGAGATTTCTTATAAATGTGTATTAAAAATGCAAATTTAAGTTTCAGTGCCTAAAACCTTTTAATGACTATCAAATCTTTATTGATAAGACATCTCATGAAATTCAAAGATATCAATTAGGCCAAATAAAAAATTAAGATTGGTTCTCAAGCCCCGCCGCATTCAAGTTTACCCCGCCACATTAAAATTTTTTTTCGGTAAAATTGATCAAATTATTCCGGAAATTGTTAGTTTGTCATGACAGGTTTTAAATTTAGAAGGCCCAGATCTCTATCATTAAAGCGTTTTTGAATACAAACTGAGATGTTATAAGATTCCGCTGAAAATAGACCTAGACTAGTGGAGTTAGAAAAACCAAACATGTTTGCCATATTGGATTATCAGTCCTGGTACTGTAACTTGTGGCCCCAATGTTTTGATGTTATGAAGCACAATTGGCAATAAAAGTTCCAACATATCTGTAAGAAATTTACTTGATTCAATTTGAGACTGTTACATTGGGTCTAGGTGGTGGACTTTCCACTCCAACTTAGTCAAAGTATGCAGTCCTAAGTTATGCAGTTGAGACATTGTTTGGTAAATAAAAAATGGATTTGTTTGTCAGGGTGATGCTTTCAGATAGTATCAATGAAATTATTCGTTTGTCTGAAAGTTAAGATAAATTTAATCTAGTTTGAAAATACAGATGCAGTTCAGAGCAAAATTCAAAATGAAGTCAAAAACGTACGCAATGTCCTTTAAATGTTCATATGATGACCTACAGAAAAACAGTATTCCTGAACCCTATTTAGAAGATACTAAAATCAGAAATAACAAGCGAGTGTTAAAATTTATCAAGATTCGGAATATGAACAAAATCATTGAGGCTTGAGCTAAATATACTCATATGGATGTGAATTACACTACAGAATCTCAAAGCTTCAGATTTTACCAAGGCTCCACACATAAGTTGTTTGTTGGGCAAGCTTTTCATGAGAAAGAACTTGTCTTGCTCGAATTCATTTTAGATTCCCTATTTCAAGTATTGCTCATTTTCCTGATGTTTGTTACTGCTTTTTTACCAGTACATGTATTGGATTTAATCCAACTTCAAATGATATCAGCATGTCAGATTTAGACAAAACCAAATTTCTTTTAATAAATTTTCCAAGACAAACCGGAAAATTCATATGTATACTCCGCATATACTTATAGACAGTCCATTATTTATAATAAAAACTCAATGCGTAATATCACTGTATTCTTACTGAATGTTATATTGTTAAGTGACATATAGGCCCCATGGGCCAGGTGTTTAAATTCCTATTATATGTATATTTGTTGACAGTTGTTGTAATTGTACATAACACATGTCACTATAATAAACCATTTATACTTACTTACTGCTGTGGAAGTAGTGACAATGTGCAGAAAGTTGATCGTGCCAGACATGCCTACCCAGTTTACTAATTATAATGATAGAAGCTCTTTCTAAACAGAAACATAACTTGTGGAATGAAAAGAATGCCAGAGTACAAAAAGATGAATGACTATCTTTGAATGTTTATTGAAACAACATGATTTGCCGTAGCAATACAAAAATGATCTTGAAAATAAAAAATAAAATAAAAAACCTGCCTGCCTCATTTGATTTTCAAAAAGATGGCCTGAGAACCAGTTTTTTTTTTTTGCTTGGCCTTACATGTACATATTTCAAGTTCAACTCCCACTGCAGGAAAACATTTCAGGTGAGATTTTCCTAACACTCTAAGATCTGTATACATATGTTTGATCACTAGTTAGATCACTGTGTGAGATCTCTGTGTTGGGGAATTATAAAGTACACAGGATAATTAGATAATTACCAAGAGAAGAATATACAAGATCACTAGATCACTGTGAAATATCTGTATTTGGTATTACACAGACAACACAGGATAATTAGATAATTACCCAGAGAAGAATGTGTCCATCACCTCCCTCCAGTGAACAGGAAAACCACACAGAAATTCACTTATTGTCTGATCATCAAACCCTACAATGTAACATAATCAAATCATTATTCTAATAAATTAACTCATACAAAACAATCAACTAACCCTGTATTACATTGGTATTTTCTATATAAAAGGGAATGAAATGAATACCAAAATTCATTTTCTATTACAACTATATATTTTTCTTCTCTGGAACTTCCAATTTCTCTAAGTTCTCTATCTCTCGAACCTAGTTCCTGGGTCCCGTTACACATATTTCATTGTTTCTTACTCTTGGTCTCTCTTTTTAACTTGAATATTTCCAGTAAACATAATAATAAAACTATAATGATCGGACCTAAACATTATGGTATTTCTTTTCCCTTTTGATCTCTCGAACCCCTCTATCTCTCGAACTTTTTTTAAGGTCCCTTGAACTTTGAGAGATAGTCATCTATACTACACTGGAAGGGGGTAAATACTACACTGGAAGGGTAAAAACTACACAAGATTTTGAATTATTTCTGACCTCCCGAGTGAGCATCTTCGACTTCCATGTCTCCCATCAAGCGATACACCTTCCCACTGACGGTTACGACCAGGTGAGACTCGAGTCTCTCCGCGATAAGACTAGAATGCCAGTACGTGTCGTCATCCTCTCTACAAACAACCAATAGGTAACATTAAAATAAATTTAGCAATTATTATAAATACATGTAAATTACCAGATATTAGATGATGACACTAAATTCCATTTCACTGGTAACAATGATATAATTTTGATAAACAGAAATGGTTCAGTTGGAAAGAATTTTTGCTAATCACTAAGAGGTCACCATATGAAACAAAAAAATATCACTGAAAAAAGCTTGTACATGTAGTATAGAAATTTGATAGTGCTAAAATATACATACTCACTGATTTGTCTTAGTATGCAGTGATATATAAAATATGAACATGCAGTTTTAACAGTTCTGTGTAACTAAGCATTAAATTGTAAATTAAACTGATTACTGTGTGCTATTCAATTTAAATTGTCAGCACAGCTATATCCGTGTTATGACAAGATGTACATCAAAATCTAAGTTCAATGCCTATATTTACATCTATCAATTTCAAAATGTTCAATGTTATACAGTTAATTGATAATACAGTAACACTTTTTGGAATAAATTATACCACCATGCTTGTATAGCTTAATTGATGAAGCAACCATTACCATTCAACGTAAGCATGAATTTGGATTCTTGCTTAAATATGACTTTGCTCTGTACTACAGTGTTCAATGTTTCTGATGTCAAAATAAATTCATTACTTGACCTTTTGATCTCCCTGTCCATGTAATGGTATTATAAATGCCAAAACTTTCAACACACTTTATATGTGAAATACATATCCAATGTAAATCTAAATACTTGGGACTAGACTAATATAATTTATCTCGCTTAAGGTGTAGAAACATTTTCAAGAGTGGTACATGCAGTGACATACTTAAGTTTTCCTTCCACACATGGGCCAGAATTATCTGGTAAAACTTTGATGATCCATGAGTAAAGAGTCTGGGCTTCTGGGGCAGAGGTCACCTGAAAAATAGGATTGAGACATCAGTAACAAGAGAAACAAAGGTTATCACACATATACAGAAAATATTATACTCTCATCAGCACTGTTCATACAGATGGGTGACTTCACAGGGAAAATGGAATTGAACTTTAAAAAAAATCATGTCTATATTAACACGATTAATATAAATTTTATGAATTTCTTACCTCACTCCCACAATTTCCTTTCAGACTACCTGAAATACAAATATCATAATACATGTATATGTATACAATTCAAGTAAACTGTAAAATATTTTTTATAATGCAGCCCATTTAGATTTGGAATAACATCTTTTTTGGTGTACTCTGCCCTCTGCATGTGATACTGATATCCTTCAACACTCTAATCCTGTACTGAAAAGTTCATTAATGTTACCATGGTTACTATTTATAAAGAGCTGGGTACTAGATCTTTTCAGCAAAATTGTAGAACTCGTGTTTTCCTGACCTGATAGCCATAGATAAGATTCTCCTGACCAGATATTAATCAATCAGAGAACCTATCAAAGACACAAGACAGAGCTCCATTTTACAACAGAATTTACGACTAAGACTTAAAATATAACAAACTTCTAAAATCTCACCTATTAATCTTATGAGATCATACTAAATAAAATATTAAATTACAGTTAAACATTCTTATAACACAGTGCCTGGGACGGATAATTTTAGCTTTGTTTTAAACCGTAATTCATTATAGCCTTCAATTTCAGAATATACATGTATTTTAAAGCCAGAATAAACATGTATTTTAAAGTCACTCAGAATGAAATTCACCTCACTATAAGCAATCACTTCATTATAAGCATGTTTGCTTTTAGTGTGTTTTACCACATGTAACTGTATTCTTCTTCTTCAGATAAAAAATCACAATTCGATTAACGTAAATGATAAAATAAATTACAGAAGTAGATTTTGGTCTTAGTTGAAGGATTTTTTTATTTTTGTAAAGTGGGCCCATGCCCTTAACAACCAGACTGAAATGAAATCCATTTCTACAGCTTATTCTTCACTTACCATTCTCATTTTCATTACTGCACAAAGGATAGATATTTGACGCCTCAGAAAAACTTTCATTCTCATCAGATGTGGACATTACTTTATCCTCCATATTCTCATGAATTACGCGCATTATCCCAGTGGCTGACTGCTGGCGAGGGAGGGAGCTATGAAAGCCATTTCTAGGAGCATTGTTCCGAGGAAGCTGGTTACAGTGAAAGCTGTCCTGACACAGATCCACACTACACGTCTTTGTACATGGTTCATATTGCTGCCAGTTTCTCCATCCTCCATGAGAACTAAAGGAGTTTCTAAGATTTGGTTGATGTTCAAAGCTGTGCTCTGATTGGTCGTGAATCAGTATCGGCCTACATGATTGGCTCTGTAGTCTGTATGAGTGTATCTCTGTTGAGGGTCTCTGGAGGTGACACTGCGGGATTACTGACCTAATGGAGTGGTCACGGTTGCCATAGTAACTGTAGGTAGGGGTACTGGTCAAAAAGGAACGTTTTTCTGAGCGAGGAAGATAAAACTCCGACTCTGTTGCATGAGATGGGGACAAATATCTCTCCTGTAAATACCAAAAAAAAAAAAAAAAAAAAAAAAAAAAAAAAAAAAAAAAAAAAAAACCTATGAAGTTCAAAGCAGAGGAATATCATAAGTTAACTCTACTGTTTCACACAGAAGTGTACCACTTTTTTACCCTATCTACCGCCTACCTCTTTTATTATAAGTAACAGGACTTTCATGAAGGATTGGAATCAGGTGTTACTTCTAAACAAAAAGGAAGTACCTTGTTGAGGCAATTTTATTTTAAATGTTATTGAATTTTTCTCCAACAAATATTTTGGCTGACACAATCATGATTTCAGCCAGGTAAAAGTACTGGTCACTGACAGATTTTAAAAGGCCTGAAAAAACTTGCTGTTTTTCTACAAAATCCTTTTTTTTGGTAGCCATTTTGGAAGCCATACAGATTTAAGATCTTACAAGGTGTCTTTTTTTTAACCTATTGCATGATTTTAACTGGGAGCAATCTGGAGCATACAAACTCTTTTATCGTACCAATGTTAGATGGACACATGACAACCTGCACACACATCATGGTCATTGGCTACTATAAATTTTGACATCCTCAAGAAAAAGGGAGAGGAAGGATTCTGGAAACTGGATGAAAACAATTGACTTTTTTCATAAAAGTAAAACAGGGAACTAGTATTTTATACTTTTATGCAACTCTACTCTGCATTCACTTTCATTGCATGAAATACAAATCTTGTTTAAAAGAAATACAAACTAGTTTTAGTAGTTTTAGATGTGAATTGTTTAATATGACATCTGACATTTGCTCTTTTTGACAATTAAATGGACAATGACAATTATTGCTTCTGGGCTATACCAACAAAGATCACCTTAAGAAGGCTAAGCAGCCACTCAAAGCTATTGTGATGAGCATGCAAAACATATTTAAAGTGAATACATTTCAATGCTATTGATTTTGGTAAATTTTGTGATTCCAAATTTTCTAAAAGTCCCTTGGAGGTCTAAGTATCCACATCTGATTACACCACTTCTCCAATATGTTGTTGTACAATACTCTGAAGTTTCTGCCTCACTGTTGTTAATAGTGAGCGCAGCACCTGGGCAAAGAGAAATTTTGGACTTTGCACATTGATCCAAATCAATTTTTATTTGCAAATAAATCATAAAAAAAAATTTTTTATTTGCAGTAACTTCTGGATCCACAATTCTTTGCGAATTGCATCTTGTTGCAAACTATGTTCTTGTGGTAACAACAAAAGCTCACCAAAAGATAAACTCACCTTGATTTACATGGATGTTTTAGATATTAGTAGATAACAGTATTTGGGAGGGGAGAATTGAAGTGAAAATTGGCGCATTAAATTAACCATTGGAGGCGCCAAGGTGCGCATTCAAATTTTAGAATGTTATTTGGAAATATATTGCGTACAACTTTTTTGCTTGTTTTACTTTCATTTTAAATGCAGTCATACAACAAATCTCATTTGTTAAAACCCGGCAAAAACTGCTTCCCGTTACATGAAGTCATTTAGGACAACAAACTTAAGGTACAATACTGCACTCATTTCCAATGTTTATTTGAAATTTTGATGTAAGTTACTGATCCAAAAATATGAGAAAATTATATTGTTTGCAGGTTCCTTTAAATGTGCTACACTGCATATGTGAAAAATAAAATTTGCTTAAATAAAGAAACATGTTTCCTTTCATATTTTACATTTGTTTGTCATTTTGTTTTTTCTTAAAATGTCCCATCAGAATATATAGATGGCCCATTAAAAACTTTGACAGTTGCGCCATTGTCCCATTGACCTTTATGGCCTTCCCAACCACTGAGATTCTAGTCGATTAAAACGTTATTTGTTAAAATTTGCACTTTGCGTCGTGACGTCAGAGCCTAGAGATGAATCTAAACAAGAGGCCCATGGGCCACAACGCTCACCTGAGTAACTTTGGCCTTGTTGTTTTTCACCCGATTTCCCCCTTGTAATACCTATTGTGGCCCCGCCCTACCCCAGGGGTCATGATTTGAACAATTTAGAATCTACACTACCCCAGGATGCTTCCACATAAGTTTCAGCTTTTCTGGCCCAGTGGTTCTTGAGAAGAAGACTTTTCAAGATATTTTCTACATATTTCAATGTAAAACTTGGATTCCCTATTGTGGCCCCGCCCTACCCCTGGGGGTCATGGTTTTTACAATTTAGAATCTACACTACCCCAGGATGCTTCCACATAAGTTTCAGCTTTTCTGGCCCAGTGGTTCTTGAGAACAAGATTTTTAAAGATTTTTTCTACATATTTCAATGTAAAACTTGGATTCCCTATTGTGGCCCCGCCCTACCCCAGGGGTCATGATTTGAACAATTTAGAATCTACACTACCCAAGGATGCTTCCACATAAGTTTCAGCTTTTCTGGCCCAGTGGTTCTTGAGAAGAAGATTTTTAAAGATATTTTCTACATTTTTCAATGTAAAACTTGGATTCCCTATTGTGGCCCCGCCCTACCCCCGGGGGTCATGATTTTTACAATTTAGAATCTACACTACCCCAGGATGCTTTCACATAAGTTTCAGCTTTTCTGGCCCAGTGGTTCTTGAGAACAAGATTTTTAAAGATTTTTTCTACATATTTCAATGTAAAACTTGGATTCCCTATTGTGGCCCCGCCCTACCCCCGGGGGTCATGATTTTAACAATTTAGAATCTACACTACCCCAGGATGCTTCAACATAAGTTTCAGCTTTTCTGGCCCAGTGGTTCTTGAGAAGAAGATTTTTAAAGATTTTTCTACATATTTCAATGTAAAACTTGGATTCCCTATTGTGGCCCTGCCCTACCCCCGGGGGTCATGATTTGAACAATTTAGAATCTACACTACCTCAGGATGCTTCAACATAAGTTTCAGCTTTTCTGGCCCAGTGGTTCTTGAGAAGAAAATTTTTAAAGATATTTTCTACATATTTCAATGTAAAACTTGGATTCCCTATTGTGGCCCCGCCCTACCCCCGGGGGTCATGATTTTTACAATTTAGAATCTACACTACCCCAGGATGCTTCCACATAAGTTTCAGCTTTTCTGGCCCAGTGGTTCTTGAGAAGAAGATTTTTAAAGATTTTTTCTACATTTTTCAATGTAAAACTTGGATTCCCTATTGTGGCCCCACCCTACTCCCCGGGGTCATGAATTTAACAATTTAGAATCTACACTACCCAAGGATGCTTTCACATAAGTTTCAGCTTTTCTGGCCCAGTGGTTCTTGAGAAGAAGATTTTTTAATGACCCCACCCTATTTTTGTCTTTTCTTGATTATCTCCCCTTGGAAGGGGGCTTGGCCCTCTATTTTAACAATTTAAACTCCCCTTCACCAAAGGATGCTTTGTACCAAGTTTGGTTAAAATTGGCCCAGTGGTTCTTGAGAAGAAGTTGAAAATGTGAAAAGTTTACAGACGTACGGACGGACAGACAGACGGACGACGGACAACGGGTGATCAGAAAAGCTCACTTGAGCTTTCAGCTCAGGTGAGCTAATTAAAACTGAATCGGTATCTGCGCTCACCCTAATGGTCACATCAACAACATATTATTTTTGTGAGGATTAAAGAAAAAGGCTTGGTAGAACATTTACCAGTTCACTAGAACCTGCTGTTACATCTGTAGTTTGAACTATCTGCCGTTTTCCAGGCTTTTTTCACGATTTTGATATTTTACGTGCCAGGAAAACGTCAGAACCGGCGCCATTACAAAAACTGGAAATTCGCCGCCTCCAACTGGAGGCGGCATTCTCGGGTTGATTTTCGATACTTGCGAACCGAATTAAATGCTGAATTCACAACTTATTTATAGTACAATGCCTTTAGTAGTCACCAACATCATTTATATGGGTTTGTTTATGAAATATACAATCTGGTGAAAACATTTTACCAGACGGTCGAGTTTTCTTTTCATTTCGTGCATTTTAAAATCTTGCAAGACCAAATCGAAATGTGGAGTGATATTTTCTTTTCATCGATATTGGTGAGTACTAGAAGCATTGTGGTACTGATAAATAGTAAGTTCGGCATTTAATTCAGTTTGCAAGTATCGAAAATCAGCTCCGGTTGGAGACGGTGAAATTTCCAGTTTTTGTAACGGCGCCGGTTCTGACGTTTTCCTGGGACGTAAAATATCAAAATCGTGAAATAAAGCCTGGAAAACGTCAGATATTTCGGACTATTACATCTGTAGTTCAGGAATCCAGTATAGGTATGATTCAAATTCAATTTGATTGTTGGGAATATTAAAAATACTTAAATAAAATTGTAATATGATTTTGACCTTAGAAATGGAACTATAAGTTGCATTACCACTTGCAAAATTAAATCCAAGTTCCTCTAAAATACGAAAGAGTCTTACAAATTTGTGAACGATATTTTCCATTAGTTATGTTAAAGTGGAAATATGTTACCCAATGCAATAATTTTTAAAAGATGACGAGATCGAGGTTTAATAAAAAGATGTGTCCAAAATATTTCATATTATTGCAAAATTAAGACAAACCATTTCTGTTATTTTGAAAACATAGTCCCTCTCGCGCGCTGATGTTGTTGATCATCGTTAATCCTGTTCTTTACGATTTGCTGTAGCACGAACCCCCTTTTCAAACGTTTGAAAGATTTTCACAGAGTAGTGCTAGATAACTCGTTCAAAAATTATATGAATAGAGATTGGAATTCACTTTTTTATGGCTGAAATTGAAATGTTGACATCAAATTATTCTTAATGATTATGGCAAAAATGTTCCATCTATCTCGAATTTCAACAAAGTTATATCTTATTCAGAGCATTTTAAGACAACGCTTTAGCCATTTTGTGTAAAAGCTATCGAACTTTTCAACACAAACAATATGGCTGCGCCCATGTCCACAACATTGACCGTGAAATGTGGCTGACTTAATTACACTGTTCTGCAATGTAAATGCTAGGTAAACAGTGTTACTGTCCAAATATTTTGTAAAATAAAGTTCAATATGGCTAGAAACATCTTTAGTCAAACGAAAACATCTCTCGAGAAACACTTGTTTTTGAATACTTTGAAGAGGAAACGCGAACTCAGTGCGCAACGATGTTACACAAAACAGACAGAAAATATCATGAATGTGTTTGATAGAAAAGCCAAACGGCTACAACGAGATAGATCTACAAAGATGCCAAATTTTGAGGATTCTCAGTTTATAAAGGAAGAGGTAGGAATTATTTTGACACTTTTAAAAGTAGTCATCATGTCCAATAAATCATTGAATCAAGATTAGCTCTATATATTTTAGAGGCTGAGAATTTTTTAACATTATTTGGCAAATTGAACTAGAGCAATTCAACCAATTTTAGATGAGTTTGACATTATGTGTGTGGTGTGCATCTTTGCTAGCCAAGAGTGTCTCTCTTCGCCACATGTTCACAATGACTCAATATATGTTCAATTAATGTATGGACCAGACCAGGATTCGAACCAGGGCCCCCTGAATCTCCAGTCTGGTGCTCTACCAACTGAGCCATTTGGTCACTGATCAAACCTGCCCAACCACCACAGTTGTGATATTATTATTATTTTTTGTTGTTGTTAGGTGTGATTGGACTCAATTAATATTGCTGGACCAATCAGCAAGTATATTGCAAAGCTAACATTATAAGAAATGTTTTATATGCTTTGCATTTTACTTTTAGATACAATATATATAATTAATTTTTTTCTTTAATTATTCAGATTGGGTACAGAACATATGATAGACTTCTAGACATAAAAAGGTAAATTAACATGATTAAGATGTAATCTTTTATTAAATTAAAAGAGGTAAATAAACTGTAATGTAGTATTCTGTTACAAAAAGGCAATTTATGTAATCTTCCATTACAAAAAGGCAATTCATGATGATGTGATCTTCCATTACAAAAAGGCAATACATGTAATCTTCTATTACAAAAAGGCAATTCATGTGATCTTCTATTACAAAATGGTAATTCATGCAATCTTCTATTATCAGGATTGGTACAATCACTAGATTTAGCTATGTAGCTTGAATTACCTACACTAAAGTTTATTTACCTACCTGAAGTAGCTTTATTTAGCTACCAAATCAAACTTATTTCTAAAATTAGCATTTTTCTTTGGATGTGCAGAAAATCGCACTTTGATGCAGTGATAATTTTTAACTTTAAACTCATCTGAAAACAATTCATGAAAAAATCACTCATGAAAATGTGACTGTCTTTTTCTGCGCAATTGCATTCAAAGTTCTAAAAGTTTTGGGGCTATATACAACAGTTAATTTTTGACCAAACAGTTACTTCTTGAATGAAATAACAAAGAAGACCAGTTTTGGTTAACACGATAATTGACTGGTAATTATTCAGCACGATATGAAGTAATCATACTTTTTCATGCCTTACCACACAAAGTAGTATACATGCAGTTACTCAAACAATGAAAATCCATCTTTTGCTTAAAAGTGTTCAACTGCAGCAATACTTAAACTATCTCTGCTTTGGATTATTTTTTTTAGAAATCCCTAGACTAAGTATAAATATTAGTACTATAGTCATATACTTGCAATTTTTTGTTTTGTGTTTTTAAATAAAAAGCAAAATTTTGAAAAGTTGCATTGAAATAGCTAAATAAAGCTACCTGAGGTAGCTAAATTAAGCTACGGTAGGAAATTCTAGCTACGTAGCTAAATGTACTGATTGTAATGGACCTGATTATAACAAAAAAGGTCATTAATGTAATATTCTAACTAAAAAATGGTAATTAATGTAATCTTCAATTACAAAAGGGAGAGGTAATCTAATCTTCTATTACAAAAGGTAATTAATTTATGCAATCTATTACAAAAAGGTAATTAATGTGATCTTTTATTATCAAGTGATGCAATATCAGTTCCATACATGTAGGTACCATTACAATTAACAGATCTTTAAACATCATTTGAATTTTCATGTACATGTAGGATGCATTAAAACAAAACAAGGTTTTGGTAAACATAAACAGTAGCTATACAGAATTCCTTAATGATATCATGGACAGAAATGTAAGCTGTGTATTGGTAACTCCAATCGTTATTCATCAATTTCTTAAGGTAAAAATTTGCAGTCAAATCAAATTTTAAAGAAAAGACTTTCAGGACATCACATTCCTTCAAAGAGGATTTGGATGGAAAAGTTTGATTGTTTTTTTTTTTTTAATCAAATCAAAATGATCCCCAGGATCAAAAATGTTCATTGTATGGTAAAATGAAAAAGGTGACAATAAATTCATGTTAGTAATGTTTGCCCTTCTGTGATTTTGTAGAGAATTTGATGTAGGGGTAGATCTAGGATCTGGTCTTGGCTATGTTTCCCGTCACATTCTAAAAGATACCATCAAAACTCTGTATCAGTGTGAACTTTCAGAAAAATTACTGGTAAGTTTGCTTGTTTAATACACACTAAATGGAAACTGTAATTCACTTAACCAAGGAAACCAAAGAATATATTTTTTTTAAGATGGTTTTCCATAATTATTTTTTATGTAATCCATTTGCAATAAATTTTGTATCTTAAAAACAACAAATAAACCATTCACTTAATGAAGGAAACCAAGTTTTTTTTTTTTAATTTTATGATGGTTTTCTGTAATTATTTTTTATGTAATCCATTATCAACCAATTTTGTATCTTAAAAACAACAAATAATTCTTCTTATATATTAGTTACAATCAAGGTCATGTTTTTTTTTTCTCAGAGAAAAGCACAGGTTTCACCAGAAGTTCCTACTCACAAATTGATTGTTGATGAAGAATACCTCCCATTTAAAGAGAATTCTCTGGATGTAATTGTTAGCAGTTTAAGGTGAGTTCTGGTCAAAGTATGGTCAGAAGTCAATTAGGCAGTTATTTCTGTGTAGCTATGTCTCTGTCAGAGCTAGCAAGGAAGAGCATATGCCTCATTCTCATGTGTAGTTGTCTCTTGCGTGGCTCAAACCCAGGACTTCAAAATAAAATGGACTATTCCTTCACCAGATGTTTAGAATTCCATGTGAAGCAGGTGGCTTTTTAATTTTCTGTTTTTGTAAGATGTTATTTTCTCTTTTGACAGCTTACACTGGGTCAATGATTTACCAGGGTGTAAGATGTTATTTTCTCTTTTGACAGCTTACACAGGGTTAATGATTTACCAGGGTGTAAGATGTTATTTTCTCTTTTGAAAGCTTACACTGGGTCAATGATTTACCAGGGTGTAAGATGTTATTTTCTCTTTTGACAGCTTACACTGGGTCAATGATTTACCAGGCTGTTTCAAGGCTGTAAGTGTACCTTTTTATAACTTGATTCTTTTTATTATTTTAAGCACATGTACTACTATATTTATGTATCTTGTTCATTTATGTAATATTATTAAATGTGTCTTTAGATAAAAGAATTTAAAAATTCTATGGGCAAAAAAAAAAAAATTGCATAAAAATTTATTATGCAATTTAAAACTTTTACAATAAATTACTTTTTTTCTTGAAGTATTTGAAAAGTTACAAAATTTAAAAAATTCAAAATAAAATTGAAGACCATGTGCATTGATACTCTGCCAACTGAGAATAATGAAATTAGCAATCATCATCATAATTAATTAGGCTTTTTTGTGCTTGACCATGTCCAGAATGTCAACCAATTCTTTCTCTCTGAACAGGCTCAGAAAGCTTTAAAACCAGACTGTCCATTTATTGGGAGTATGTTTGGTGGTGACACACTATTTGAACTCAGGGTTTCTCTACAGTTAGCTGAACAGGAAGTACAGGGGGTAGGTACCAGGCTAAACTGGTTCTCAACATTAAGGCTGTACATAATTCTTTCACAAATTCAAAAACATATGTTGAAGCATGAATGAAACTCAATTTTCATACAAAGTTCATAGTATTATCAAAGCTCATTTGAAAAGAAGTGCATTTTTTAAAAAAAATCATTGTATTTTGTCAATAATGTAACATACATGTGATGTACTTGTCTGATTGACAGGGGATTAGTCCACACATTTCACCTTTCACTGATGTACGTGATCTTGGTAACCTACTGAACCGAGCAGGATTCACCATGTTAACTATTGTAAGTGACTAAGTGTGGCTAAATAAATCAAAGTACAGACAGTACTGAAGGGTTAAGTTAAAGTAAAAAGTACTACAAATATGAAAAGATAGTTAGAAAGCGTATTTAGTATATAAACAAATGAAAGCAAGTGACAGTTGTTTAAAATATATTTCATGGATAAGGTTTTCTTGGATTTATCATCTTAAGGGCATTGGCAAAGTTACCAGCTTTCATATAGAATTTTTCAAGACCTCTTGTGAAGGTGTAATATAGAATCAAGTATGTTATATTCTGACACTCTTAACCCACCAAGCCACCTTTTTAAATTTTGCTAAATAAAAGCTTTTTTCCATTTTCATTTTCAGTGCATTTTCTATGTAAAATGTTTATAAATGAACATGCAGAGTTTTTAACCATAAGATTTTCCCAGAACCTTTATGTTTCATATAGTTTTTGTATTGTACACATAACTGTAAAATCCCCATTTACTATGACATTTAAATATTTTTGCAGAAACTGATATAAGACACACATTTAACTGCACTTTTTTCGAGATATTTCCTGTTTTCTTAGGATTATTTAGTGGTAAATGAAATAAAATTGAAAATTGTTTCAATTGACTATTTCTATTATATCATATCATACATCATGTTGGAAAAACAAATTCCTCAAAATGATATAAAAATTGACACTTTGTTTGTAGTAACTAGATGGTGGTGCTTCTATCACATGATCTTGACAACTGTTGTCAGTATCCTTCACATTTTTGTCATTCCCAGCTGTAGTCAGTATCGAACTGTTGACTCTCCATCCCCTTCTACAAAAGCGATCACTCTCAAATATTGTTACCAGGGAGCAGTTTACTCTAAATGACTGTTTTATAGGTGAAAAACCCTATTGATTGAAGTCCTTTTTTCCTCTGGGTAACCTTGCCAATGTCCTTATAAAAGAATTGAAGTTATTATTTTTTTTTTATGATGAGTAACATGTTTTCCCCTTCTATTTTACAGGATATTGATGAAATAAAAACAACTTATGAAAACATGTTATCCTTAATGTTGGATTTAAAAGGTATTAAAATCATGATTTAATGCTTAAAGGGGCATGGACATAGATTGGAAGTTCATTTCTTTCAAAATTTTTGACAGAACTTCATGACTTACTTGTTGCAATAGTGTTTCAGACCAATATATTATAAATATGCATTTTATCTTAAAATTTTCAAAACTACAGATTTCGGTAATGATTGATTGTCATACATTGTCACACTTTCACCAACTAAAATTTATCATTAATTATAGTTAAAAAAACATTAAAATTATGACTTAGAAAAATCAGAATAGAAATGTAAAAGAGCAAAACCAACACACCAGTGCCATCTGTTCATGTTCAGTGATGTATGTAGTAAGCAAATTAAAAAAATCCCATAAAAAATAAACAAAAACAATAAAAGAGCTTTTGCCCATGTTTAAAAACAAAGGTGTTTATTGTAAGTCTGTGAAGAATGTCATTATTATTGAATATTTCAAAAGACTTTTCACGAAAGTTCAATTCATTAAACAGAAGTTATTTTTGGGAAAAAAGTAGGGAAATAGAAATTGTAAACAAATTAGAAATAGACTGTTCCTATGCCCATTTCAAGCTAAAAATCTTCTAAATTAAATTTGGTTACCAGTCCAAGTCCTTTGGTATCATTGAAATAATGATTTTCTTTTAATTTCAGGTATGGCAGAAAATAACTGTGTCTGGGAGAGGAGACCCATGCTTCATCGTAAAACAATAGAATTAGCTGAGAAAAAATACAAAGGTAAATTTTCTGGTGAAAGCTTGTATTCTTTAACAGAAGCATTGAACAAAATCTTGATGATGATAACCTCGGGGTTACTAAGTGTTCCAGACTTTAAGAGAAAATTTTCATCTTGTGAAAGTTCATTTGTTAATTGTCGAAAATTTATGTTATCACACCACAATCTCTCTCTCTCTCTTTCTGCCTCTCTGTGTCTCACTCCATTTATATGGTAATTTTGTTGTAGAGATGTACAACACAGAAGAAGGGCTGCAGGCAACCTTTCAGATTGTTAATTTCATTGGTTGGTCCCCACATCCTTCTCAGGTAAATCTATTAATATATCTATATCTCTAGTCATACAAACCATTGGGTAGGGTCAGTTCTAGCCTTAGTTACACATAGGTAAAACCATTACAAACTCTCATAGTCATACATAGTCTACTGTAGCCCTAATCTATCAATGATAGTGTCTCTTATAATACAGGTTCTGACACTTATAGCCCAATCTTGTTGACATAAAATATTTATTCTCTCTCTCTCTTTTTTTTTTTAAATTTCTATTTTTTCATCTGTTTGTTGTCAATACTTTGTCATTTTGTTAGAAAATTGAAGCTTAATTCTTATTTGATATAATTTGTATGTTTAGGAAATATTAAAGTTTAATTATGAGCAGAATGTTAAAAAGAATAAGAGATTGCAGGGAAACTCAATCATACATGCTGCCCAAACTACTTCGCTTTATCCAATGCTTGTACTAATCAGCCTTTTTTTCATTATTTTGAACTTTATTAAGTGGGTTATAGCCATAACTGAATATTAGAATGAAAAAAGTTCAATATGTATTTAAGGTTTTTAAGATTTGTTAATTTTTCTCTTTCTTGCATGCTATCTTGCAGTTGATTATGAAAAAAAAAATCATTGCATATCTTTTTTTAAAATGTTTTGAACCATTGTTCACATGTATATATCTCACAATTCTCCAGAGTTATCTAAATGTAGATCTATTGCTGAACATAGTTGTCAAAATTAATTTCTCATTACATTCACTTTTTTAGCCCAAACCATTACAAAGAGGATCAGCCAAGTTTTCTCTGAAGGACATTGATAAAATTGATGAGTTAAACAAAGAAGTCAAATCCCTAACAGAGGAACTGGATAAAGAGTTAAACCCAAAGAATGATAAATAATACAATCAGAATATCAAACAAACATTTAAGTGTTTAATGCAATGTGTATTTATTGAATTTGACATGACCTATAATAATTAAAAAAAGTCGATATTCAATCTGTGTTCATTTATTTTCAAATCTTTCTCAAATGGTTTATCTGTTAAACAAGATTTTGTACAAATCATATCAAAGCAGATGCTCCTTATACCCATTATGTATTAAACTTTATTAAGGAGGCTGGGGGGTCAACAAATTAACCATCAGATACAACTTATTTTTTTTAGATATGATATCTTAAGCTGTCAACTACCATTTGACAAAGAAAAAATTCATACATTTTAGTTTTAAAATTTGATCATTTTTGTATATCTTTATATGGAGCTCTTTTTCTAAAGAAGATCAATAAAGTCTAAAAATGGCCATGACCACCCAGCCCTCTTAAGGATATCCAAGCTTTCTAGAGAATATAATGTCAAAACCATTAGCTCCACTAGGAATTTGACATATTCAATGTAATTCTAAAATATGCTCGAGTTTTTTATGGAAAATATCTATGTATTTCTTGGAGACCAGGCTCCAGGCCTTAAAACTAAGACGAGCTCACTTTTCATCTCAGTCTCACTTTTACAAAAAGGAATATATAGCAGAAAAATGAGACTGAGATCAAAAGTTTTATGGCCCTGGAGCCAGGTCTACAATCTGTCGGAATTCCATGGGTACTTATTCTTCCCCATTATTAGCAGACTTGTTTGTATTCATATGAAGCAGAATTCATTAAACACTTCTATGTGAAAAGAAGAAGTCTCTTGCTGTGGCCTTAATTTGAGTTTTGATATATTTGAAACATTTTGTCAACCAAAAATATTCATTTTCATTCCTGTGTTGTTCTGTTACATCCCAGTGAACTCAAAATAAAAGACATCACAGAGTCTGACACATCTGTTTCATATTTAGATGTTTTACTAGAGAAAGACGTTGATATCAGACTAGCAACTACACTTTATGATAAACATGATGTCTGCAACTTTTTTTCAATTGCCAACTTCCCTTATTCATATAGCAATACACCATTATCATCTGAATAAGGGGTTTGTATTTCCCAGATGGTAAAAACGTGTTCTATGTATAATCAAATTCTAAAACGAGACAGACTACTGTCAAATAAATAATGAAACAAGGACATCAACAATCTCGTACTTGGCAAATTCTATAGTCAATACAATGCCCTTGTTAGCAAATACAATCTATTGTCAGGTTGAATGTTGAATGGGCTGACATCTTTCATACAAATTGTAAGTTCTGTGGTCGATACAATAACAATGACCTTGTCAGCACATACAATCTTTCATCAAGTCATATGGTGACTGACGTTTTTGAAACTAATTGTTAGGCCATTATTTACACACTGAATTGTCAACTGAATTTTCCGTTATTTACCGACCATGACAAGGAGCACACGGCGGGTGTGACTGAATGAATATGAATACTGTTCGTTATCCATATTTCACTAAAACAAAGTAAAACCTGCCTTAAAAAAAGTAATTACTAGTAGAGATGCAAATTCTATGACAGGTTTGTAAATACAATCCATGGCAGTACGAGTAATATATAGCTTAACCGATGCAGGCTACAGACACATAAGACCGCGGAACATTAACTGGCAAAATTGGAAATATGCAGCTTACGTCATTTCCATCTGTCGCAGTCAAACACTTGATGATAGACAATGAAATGGGCGGGTACAATTTGACACGCACGTCTGCGAAAACATTGGATTGAAATTGCAGTTCGAAATTCATTTTCAATCCACCTGAATTATTTTTCGCAAAGTTATAATGTATGATCCAAACGACAAATAAAATCAGTTCGTTCCCAAATACGTATAGTTTGAAATTAATGTATAACAATTTTCTATCCCATATTTGAGGACACACAGAAGTTATAGTAACTATATTCTTTTGGGGGACGGCTATTTGATTCTAGAGGGGGGGGGGCTGGCAAATTTTGTCGAATCAGATTATTTATGGTTATGCATCACATAAAAGAATATATTTAATTTCTTCTTCACTGAAAAAAATTTGAAATTCAATTTTAAACCACCTGAGCTGTGTGAAAACCTTATGTGTGAATGTATGATCCAAAAGACAAATAAATTCAATTCCCAAATACATGTTATTTGAAATTCATATTAATATGAGTTTTAAGCCTAATTTTAAGTACACGCCAAAGTCATAGAGATTATTTTTTCAGGGGACGGCCATTTGATTCTAGAAGGGGGCGGGGGGCTGTCAAAAATTGTCGAGTCAGATCATGCTTTCATATGAAGATTATATTAATTTCTAGGATGACAAGAGCTTTTATTTTTTAGTTTTTTAGCTTTGAAAAATGTTTGACAAACAAAAAAAGGGAGGGGTTGTCTAAACTAAAAGAAAACTTTCTTATTCATTTCCAACATCGTTCAACCCCCTCCACCCCCCCCCCCCCAACCCCCAGCACACACAAACTCATATCAAACAGGAATCAAATATTTGTCCCTTTATATTTCTTTAAAAACATGGGATAGAAAATTCTGATTTATATATATTTCAAATTATTTGTCTTCTGGGTCAGTCAGTAACACTGTGCGTTCTAGCATAGCTGAGGTGGATTGAAAATGAATTTCGAATTGCAATTTCAATCCAATGTTTTCTCGGACGTCCGTGTCAAATTGTACCCACCCATTTCATTGTCTATCATGAAATGTTTTGACTGTAACAGATGGAAATGACGTAAGCTGCATATTTCCAATTTTGCCAGTTAATGTTCCGCGGTCTTAAGTAATTATCAAGTTATTATCTACAAAAGGAGCAATATATCAAAGATAGTAATTAACATAAGCCTCACTTTTGATGAGTATGCAAAAAAGTTAAAACTTCCAGGAGTATTTTTATATGTATACAAATCCGACACCCTGTCTCCAAAGAGAGGAAGCAAAATGCTTTCATATAAATATTTTTAACAAGCAACTTTACATTAAGTCTGGACCAACAGACAAAATCATTTATATGCAAATTGAAAATCTTCATAATTGCGTTACTCATCTCTCTCTCTCTTAAACATTTAGAAGGTCACTTTTGGATAAGTCTGCCAGGCCCGTAGGAAGCAATTTCAGTTTGGGGGGGGGGGGGCACTATGAACTACCAAAATTCTTTGACAAGCAAAAAAAAAAAAAGAAAAAAAAGGGTAATCAGCCGTTTTTATTGAGGGGGCGCAAACATATAGTAGCTAAGTTTTCTATAGTATTCTATACATTGGCAAAATTATTGGGGGGGGGCACGCCCCCCCCCGTGCCCCCCCCCCCCCGGTTCCTACGGCCATGTCTGCTGTGTTTCCCATTAATATATATTAACATTGATTTAAAGTTATATAGAATTTAAGTAAAAGAGTATACCCTCCCTATGTTGGATACTGGTGACTATTGTTTTAATGACCACTTCATTACCATCTTTAAAAATAATTAAGTCAGAGGTATACAATTTTAATATTGATACAAGAAGTGACACTAAAAAAAATCCCAACATTAATTAAACTAAAAATGGAACTAAGTTAGAAATATACTAAAAGAAAAATAAATTGGAACTAAGCGCAAATTAAAGTTAAACTTGATATCCTCATAAAACGTTGAGAAATAACAATAAGAATTTCTACATAACAGTTGTGAATATTGTCAAATATGTATTTGATTTTCACAAATCCATTTGATGACTTTTTAAAGTAAAACATTTATTTTTTCTATTTAGTATAAAAAAATTATTCATAAAACATACATTTCGTAATGTATTCATGGAAATATTGTTCTATTTATATTTGTCAGTGTTGTCAGAAGAGGGAGTGTGAGCACTGAGCTAACAAATGAAAAAGCTGAATATAACCAACAGTGATCGATCTAAAAAAAAAAAAAAAAAACTACATACAATACAAGTCTGTGAACAGCGCATTAAACACTCCCCCCCCCCCCCGGAAATTCCAGATGTGGGATCAGATCCTAGAAGGAGAAAACATCCCCTTCGACCCTTCACACCCGCCATGAGTCCTTTGTATTGATTTGTATGAAAAACGTCGAACGAAATGTGACCTAATGATAGACAAGATCATTATAACGACCACAAAATGCCCACTTTAAACGAGGTTGCTGAGATTCCTGTAACATCAACTTATCTGTCAGTTGTCTGCCTTGGATCAAAAAATTGATCAGAGCATTTAGTACATAGCAATTAGTCAGAGCATTCTCATCGAATACTTCTTGATGGGAGACATAAACACCATATGCAGGTGATAGCGGAATATTACTACATAAATAAGGAAAGTCGACGTTTGAAAAGCTGAAGTCGTCGCGTTTGTCATACAATTTAGTTGTTAGTTTGCCCTTATCGTCTATAGTCAGTAAAACTTCCAGATATGCATGGAACAGATGTGGCAGACTCCGTGGTGTCTTTTATTCTCAAGCTCACCGGGAAATATCGAGTCGACATATGAATGGAAGTAACTATTATAAATTGATAAGACGGTGTCGATGCATTCGAATGTCGAGTTGAAGGTCACAGCGAGTGTTTTCTTCTTCTCATGTAGAAATTTCTTTTAATAAATTCTGATTCATAAGAATATAAAAACAGGCTAATAAAGGAGCATAATTAGTGCGCATCGGAATTCCAACGGTTTATTGGAAGACCTGGTCATTTTACAATATCTTAATAAAACATGCGCTACCCATAGGCTTCAAAGTAAAATTCAAGAAGCAATTAATTGGACAATAATCAAAATTTTGTAAATTCGTTTGGTGGGGTATTTTTATTCGAAAACATCTTCAAAATACTACCGTGGTTAAAACTATCGGATCATTCATTTATTAGGAACAAAATATGGTCGTTATACATTGAATACCTTAAATTTCTCCTTTACAGCAGTTGTTTTTTTGTGTGAGAAGTACAGATAGGGGCTTAGTATAGAGCATTTGCTGGACCTCTATCCGTAAGGATTCTTATGATGGGAATCCAGTATCGGTAGGGAAGATCGAACTCTCAAAAGTGAAAAGTATTAAAGACGTACTGAAATGTGATTTTGAAGAATTTCATCTTTAGAAAGCGAACTCTGAGTATAAGTTGGATTTCCAGACGCAGAATTTAAATCTAGTTCATTTAGTAAAATTCAGTTATAATAATGAGCCTTGAAAACAAAGACAATATTGACACAAGACTTTTCGGCTGGAACCATAAAATTGTTCATGTACTCTTTCTAATTCTTTTATCACCTCCGAATTGATGAAAACGGAAGGATAGGTGTTCGTATATTGCCTTTTAACTTTCTAACACGATACTAATAAATATCTAAAACACTTGATCCATTCTGACAAAGTGTTCGTGTCTTCCCCTTCATATTTAGCCCAACATCTGCCATAATCATTGACAGAATACTTAATAGAAATGAAGTTCTGTTCGCCATTTTAAAGTAGGGGCTCCCTGTATTTAGGACCTTTTAAAATGATACCCAACTCCCACATGAGTATAATCATAAAGTTAACGGAGGGACGTATGGACGGAAAGCCCCATCACCATATACCCCATCCCCATTTTTCAAGCGGGAATATTGTAAAGAATATTTATAACCGTGTATAAGTTCAATAGAGTTTAGGAGAAAATAATCTTTAAAATAGAATAAGATAGACATTGCCAGTGTCCTCTTTAATCATCTGCAGATCTTGACAATCTTAGAGCCTTTTAAATATGAAATAAAGAATTTGTTATCAAAGTAAATGTAAGATATTTTAGAATCCCCCCCCCCCCGCTTGAATAGTACTCAAACATATTTGTCAGAAAGTTTGGGTAGAGATTTTACTTTATCCAACATCAAAAATAATTTCAGGAGTTAGGATTTAAAAACATGGCACTTCTACATATGAATATGTTAAGAGTTTACTAGTTTTACAGTTAATCTGTTGTTCAAAATGAAAAAAAACATTCTCTTTGCAGAGGGCTTTATTGATCAATATTTCATTCTGTACTTTAATTTGTACTTCCACTGTTGAGGTTTGTGTTGATCATCTTTGTGTGTTATGCTTCCGTATTAACAAATATTACAAAAAAGTTATACAAACTAAAATAACGAATACCTATACATTTCTTTCCTTGTTTTTTATTAATCAGAACAAAAAGAAGCCTAAAAATATGTCTTTTTGGATCATAAGGATCATAATTTAAAATATCCAATACCCTAACAGTTATCAAATAAAGATCTTTGAAAAATTTATAATTTTTAAATGAAAGTACAGGAAGTAGAAATATTGAGGATTTACTGTTTGATATCAAGAAAATATTTTAGAATTTGGGCCCTAATTTCTCGGTTGTCATAACAATCGTTTTCGATGTCCAGTGAGAGTATACCTTTCAAAGAAAGGTATACTCTTATAGAAATTAGAAATTTTAGGTGCCAATCAAAAATTTTAGGCGCCATGGCCACTAAATTAGTCGCCAATTAGAGCCCTGCAGATGCAATTTTGATTTCCACGGATAATATATTCCTTACAGTATTTTTTGTGCGCATTTCTTTCATATGACATATACCTCCAACAAATAGACCAACAGGAACGGCAGAAAGGGAGAGTACTGCCTGTAACAGAGGGGGTGGCGCTTGCTTGCTTTATATAGTCTGACTCTAAAGTGACGACGAAGTTTATATATTTTTTGTACTCTGTAAATCACTTGAAACGCTCAATTTCCAAATCTTACCCTTTACAAAAATTATTAGAAGATATAAACACTTTCTTTCTTTCTAATCTGGTTTGACACCCCTTGAATTCTGAATCCCTTTCTGAAAATTCTATATATCTATTTTTCGTAGCGCCTAGATAACATCCTTTCCTTAAATCCGTTTTACTATTTTTTGCATGATATAATTATTATTTTTGTGTCAAACATATAAGTGAAACAAATTTTCAATCCCCACCCCACCCCTACTGATATATCTCATTAAAATATGTTTGTATCAGATATCAGTTATAAAATTGACCTCTGTCACGGCTAGGTTGCTATCAAAGCATATGAAATTCTAACGAACATTTTTTTTTTGGTAAATATAACATAATATTGCCAAAAATAAATTCTTCTGACACGTACTTATGTTTATCAGACAAACCACAAATCCACAAATGAAGATTATGTCCGGCATCTGATCACAGCAAGGAAATAACTAAAATTTGTCCTTCTTTATATTGACATTTTTAGTCACCATTTTACAGTTAAACGAGAGATGCGTTGACTATCAACAGTATTGCACACGTAAAGTCAGCTATTTCTGATGCTGCTCTTTCTTCAGAACGTGACACAGAAAGGTATATGCTATTCATTCTTCTAAACAACAAGCTATATTAACTTTTGAATGATATGCTTAAATTAATTTTATTTTAAAAGTTTAGTCTGATAATACATATACTACAGACAGATTTCTGATATTACGGATTTTTCTTTCACAGAATTTGAATTTTTTCAATAATGAACACTCCTACTAACGTCCAGTATGTCCAGATGCGATGTGACCTGTGTAAGACTGGTATGGTTCAAATGCACTGTGATGAGTGTCATGTCCATTTGTGTAAGGTCTGTGTGGGGGAACATTTATCTGCTGATCTCTCAAAATCTCACACAATTGTTGCAATCAAAGACAGAAATCGAATTATACTTTATCCTCACTGCCCATCTCACGTGAACGAACAATGCGAAATGTACTGTAACCAATGCTGCACTCCAATGTGCACTGCGTGCATTGCCTCTGGCGAACACTTTGGTCATAGCATCTTACAAATACGACAAATTTACGAAGATAAAAGAAAGAATCTTGAAGAAGAAAACAAAGACATTAAACAAAACCTTTATCCAGCCTACCAGGGCATTTTATCTGATGTAAAGAACAAAATGAGTCAATTAGACAAGATATACGGAGATCTCTCAACAGCCATAACAAAACATGGAGAGACATGGCACAGAGAAATTGACATGCTAGTGAATAAACTTAGATCTGAGGCGGTTAAAATGAAACAAATCCATTTGAATATTTTGGAAAAACATCTGCAACATATTAAAGGAAAAATAATCCTTCTTGAGCGTATACTAAATTCACAGGAAAAAGTACTAGATTCTAGTCAATTACCAGTATCCCTTCTCCTCGGCTATCAAAGTCAGATTCCAAAACTGAGTAAACTTCCTGCAAAAATAGATACGCCAATGCCATGTTTCACCCCAGTACTACCATGGAATAATCAAGAAGAGCAATTCATTAAGCTTTTTGGAAAACTATCAACTCTGTCTTTCAATTCCGAGGAGGAGCCAGGACACAAAATGAAGGCACTCGAGCAAGCACCAGAAACTGAATTTTCTCCTTTGTCAAAACATCTGATTAATGATACCGAGACTGTCAACTCTATAAACACTGGATATGGGCACCTTTACAATGTAGCCTGTTTGGGTAATGAAAAAATCTGGACAAGTGGCTATGACAGTGTTATAAGACTCTTCAGCATGCAGGGATCATTCCTCAAGTCAATCATAACCAAGTCTGGGAGAGGACCACATGATATAGCAGTGACAAAAAGTGGAGATCTAGTTTACACTGATTACAGGGATAAAACTGTAAACATAGTGAAGTATGACCAGATAGAAGAGATGATCAAACTACAGAACTGGAAACCTCTCAGTTTATGTAGCACCTCCAAAGGTGATCTCCTGGTAACGATGGACAGCGCTGATAACAAGCAAGCAAAGGTTGTCTGCTACTCTGATTCTACCGAAAAACAAACCATTCAATTTGATGACGAAGGTAACCCTCTTTACTTTCAAAATGATAAATACATCAATGAAAACCAGAACCTGGATATCTGCGTAGCTGTTAATGGAGCTGGAGTTGTGGTGGTAGTTAATCAAGCTGGGAAACTGAGATTTAGATACACTGGATATACTCCTGCTCCAAAGAATAAACCATTCAGTCCACGAGGGATCACCACAAACAGTCAGAGTCACATCCTTACAGCTGATGATAACAATTGTTGTATCCACATCATAGACCAGGATGGACAGTTCCTCCGTTATTTACCTGGACTGATAGATCCATGGGGACTGTGCACAGACGCTAATGATAATCTATTTGTTGCTCAGCGCGGGAACAAAGAAGTGAAAATATTAAGATATTAAAGGAAATGAAATAATACTTAGAGTAACAAATGTACATATTTGTATTTTAGACGCTTTTGACTGTTTAGAAGCAGTATTATGTTTTCTTATCATCCTAAAAGTATGCTTTCACATAAAGTATGATATTAAATAGAATTAATGCTTCTACAACTATACTTGATAATTTCAGATTGTATATATTACGGCCTCTATTATAGAGAATCAAGAGTCCAGGATACTTAAATATATATTCAATTTCATTCAGTGGAAATTGTTGAATTAATGTACAGTGCCTCCTTTTTAATATATTCGATCAGTGCATATTATCTATTCAAGATATATTACTAAAGTCAGGTACTCTTCACACAATTGCTCCGAAGAAAATAGTTCCATTCATGATCAGTAGATAAAACATTACAACAAATATTAAAAATAATCATGTATATTTAATACGTTAAAGAAAACAAAATTAACGTTAAAAGATTTAAAAAAAATCACTTTTTCCCCAGAAAAGCAAATAAAAAGTTTTCATATTCCTACGCTCGCTGCCTCCTCAGTCTTTTTCACGAAAATATATAGGTCACACTTCGATTGATAATGATAAATCTTTTCACCAGTTATATTACTGTCATGATTATTGTTCGTTAATTGCCGTATATTTTCTTTTGAGTTAGAATGTTAATCATTAACTGTGTGTGTGTTTTTTCTCTTTTTTTAAATAACGGAATGGTTATTATGGCTAAACACTTCTCGGCAAAGCAACGTGATTTTCCGAGCTCGGAAAGATCTTCGCACGTGTGTAGACCTAGGCTATTTTGTCTTGCAAGAACAGGTGTGTGCACCATTCCCTAGTGACGCTTAGATCAGTAGACTGGGTATCAGTACTTGCTACGGACATAAAGAAGTTTAGAACTATACACCAGTTTCATAACAAGTGCAGGTTTTTTACTCCAGGTGAAGCCCTAGACTGGGCTAGAGGGGCTGAGTTATGGTCATCGATCTAACACGAAAATGTACTATTTTTGTAAATAAAAACATTTCTAGAAACAAAAATGAAGTTTATCTTCAAAACGTCTGTATATTCAAAATCAGTATATGGTGGAGGAATATTCAGTGATGCTCCATAGCCGCAACCGATCTCGCGCTTTCCTTTGCGTTTAACAACGGCCGTCAATGCATCACTGGACGAGTTCATTGATTACTCTAAAAGGTGACAGGTTGGACCATCTTTAACATCTGCCTATACTTTGAGTGATAGTACTTTTTAATAGCACAAAATTAAAAAATAAATTAAAATCTATCCTTGATAGATCTATAGTTTTGCTATTTGTGAAAATGGGCTATCTTTGATAATCCATAACGGCTTGAACTTGATTTGATTTTTTTTTACAGAAGATTCTATCATTGGAAAGTTAGATGGTACACATGTAGCACAGGCCCATAGTACGCGGGATTTTTTGGGAGTCCCCCCCCCCTTTCACTTTGAAAACGTTGCTATAGGCCTGTAACATGCTATTTGGATTAAATATTCCTGAAAATGAGTGAGGTGTTAAATACATTTTTAAAATTATACGATTAATTATATTTAGTTTATGTTCAATGTGAAATTAAAACTATTTTTATGCATGTGCAACTTTGTGATAAAGTCACTACATGCATGTAACGTTATATATGTACATGCAGTTTGTTTCCTACTATATGCATATTTTATTCAACAAAAGATGTTGAAACTCAGTAGCCTAAATATTATGTCATTTTAGGATATTTATGTATATGGCACTTTTATAGTTGACTTTCTACAGCTTGAGTATCTCTGACGTTTTGTCAGTAAATACTTGTTTTTTTTTTTTTATTAGAAATCATCTGAACACAATGAAAATTCGAATAAATTAAAAGTCGAATATCTTGGATATGGGGTAACCCATATCTATTCTTGTTATATATGAAAAATGATGCTGAATGACTTTCTACCCTGATGGAAATTGTGAAACCTACGCTTCCGTTGAAATGAGGATTATATTCTACTGTGAAAGTAATGATGTCCATGCTGCTGCAGATAATTATTATGATGTAGTGGAAGTCATGGGATAGATTTAATTCTTTAACGTAATTAACCTCTCGTGAAAAGTCAACATTACGAAAATTTTCCGATCGATACAATGACTTTGCTTGCAAATACAACCTGAACCAAAGTTTTTTAAAAAATTGTTTGACTCTTTAAAACATTTTTTTGCCAATATTTTCATACTGAATTAAAGCATTGAAAAAAAAACTTATGGAATTTCATGATGTTGAGTTATCAAAGTTTACTTCGTTGTTGACCAAACACTTTCTAATATCATAATTACTAATATCATATTCAAAAATATTATAAGCTTGCCTTCTAGTAGCACTACAGTTTGAATTTATGCTTTGGAAATAAAAATAATGAAGACTGATAAAGAACTAAGTACGTTACGTATTATTCGAAGGCCCACAATTTTTCGTATTTTGATATACAAGTTTGCAAAAATATAACTACTATGTACATGTAGAAGAAGATTGGTAGTTTTGATATATGCATAACAAAATTTCGCAAGTACGTTGATTAGAGGTATTCACAGGATTTAAACATCCGTTATTTCCGGAAATTGCTATTTTTTCCACTATTTTTACAACAAATTCCCAAAATTGAAGTAGTGCACACCCCTCGAGCAAAATAAAACATATATATTTGAAAATAATTTGATAAAAGACAAGCAAAAATAATGGTAAGAATTTGCTCGAGGAATGTGCAGTATGTTAATTTTGACATTTCATGACTATTTCCGGTGGCGGATACCAAGTTAGTCGAGAAGCGAGTTCTTATCTAGGAGCAATAATAATGGTGTATTTCGTGTAATAATGTTAAAGAAATAAATTTATCATTGATTGACCATATTTATATTGCTCATACAAATATATTTCTCATGAAAATAGCATAAAAACTAAAAAAATGTTTTATAGAAATGACAAATTACGATATTTTTTTTAAACAACTAAGCCTTACACTTGCTAAATGTTGCCAGCAAGAAGGGAAGAGATCAATTTAATATACTAAAGCAATAAAATAAAAATGTTCAGCTGACAAATGAAATCACTAAAAGTATTATTGCAGAAAAGAAAATGCTTAAATCCTAACCTTTATTTCATCTTGCTACTGAAACGGCCTAGTTGACGTCTGCATGTATGTAAATAAATTACGCAATAAACTCAACGATGACGTCACAATAAGTCCCCTTGCAACACATTTTTTTTTTTTTGGAAAGGGGGGGGGGGATAAATTCCCAATCTTTTGGATGCTGTTGGTCAGGACTGATCAGATTAATTAATATTCTGAAGTCTTGTATTTTCAGTCATTTATAGAAGTGCACGGTTGATGTTTCAATATATTTTTAGATTTTATAATACACGCACAATATAAGCGTGTTGCATCTGCATCTGTATATTGTAGACATTGCCGTTAATATTATGCAAAGCAATATAAAAAACAAAGGCTCATATTTCACCTAGTAAAAGAGCCACAGCGCATTTGATAGGCATTTTCGCCTACTCTACTGGTGATTCCTTAAATTCATTGTTTAACCAAAATTTTGTCATACAATCTTAGTTTATACATGCGTAAAACCATACCACACATTAATGATATTTCAATATTAATAGTTTCCTCATATGATAAATATGAAAATTATCCAGTTTGTATGGAGTATATAGTAAATATTGAGGTATCCACCTAAAGATGACAAACTGTTGTCAAAGACCACCCTTAACCAGAAAAAAAAAAAAAAAAAAAAAAAAAACAAAAAAAAAAAAAAAAACTTTTGAAGGATTTTATTCGGATATGACTGCACTTCTAATTTTGGTTAAAAGGTGGTCTTCATATTGAAAATGATGAAAATATATATTCAATTTTTCTTCTCATATAATCGTAAGATTTAGCAATCTGTCTTAAATTTATTCATTCAACGTCATTGACTTCGTTGGCGCAATGGTATGATTGCTGGAATGTAAATATGGTGATAGCGAGTTCAAGTCCCACATTTTCCCATTTATGCTTTCTTAAATTTGTTTTTCTTTGTGTATCTTTTCTACGTTTTTCTTTATTACGTTTTATGATATACATAAGTTCAGAAAGTTATAATATACACAATATACACTTTGAAAGTAACTCGGGAAAAAACAGTCCTAAACTATTTTATTGAAGTTTGCAAATTCATAGCTTCTTGTTTTATTTTTATTGATTTTATAAATCTTTTGTCTAAGAATTTGAGTACTGAACAAATTAAATGATTGTCATTTGACATACGTGCAACTACGAAAATATAACACTCGTCCTCAAATCATATTACATAGTTTGATCTTGAATTGAAAAGGTATATCTATAAATAGAATCAGGTGATTTCCTTTTACATTCTTGAGTCAGCCGTGTCGTCTGAGAGGCAGCTATGGCTCTTTATTTTTTACCCGTATATTCTACTTAAGATCATTCTACATATACCAGAGTTGTAATTTCTTATCTGTCGATGATCCAGTGAAGTTAAAAGAAGACTGGAATGAGAAAGCGACAGAAAGGTCCAAAAAGGAATTTCGGACCAAAAAAAAAATAAATAAAAAGCTGTATCGGATGATGGGTTCACTTTTCACAATGTTACCTGTATAGAAAATTCTTTCACCCCATTACGGCAGTGTTAGTGTATCACACAATATAAGTACTGTGGAACAAAATTATTTGTCAGTGTGGAAAAGTCTGAAAACAAGTTATTTATCGGGCACGAAGAATCAGGGACGCAGGGCCCCTTCCCACTTTTTTCCGAATTTTGAAATGTTCATTAAAAGACTACCCCCCCCCCCCCTCTATTTGCTGTAGCATAGGTAAAGTTTAGGAATTTAGTGTATTGGGGAAAATTGGTTGTGAAAAAAAAATTGAAAAAAAGTTTGAACCTACCGTGACACGGGGCCTCGGTTTTTAGGTCTCATCCGAGAGACCCGCAACTTTTACTTCAA